TTTTATAGCCATACTTGTCCCACATACTTGTCCACATAATTAAGTGGCTACAGCATGATAATCTCTACTTAAGCTAATTAAGTAGTTTCTTAGCTTGTAAACTGGTTAGAATGGGAAGTCAGTATTTCCACTTTAATTTTAGGCTGCCTCAGTTTTTTAATCTATGATCATTTTGTAGGCTTGTATACTTTTCACCACTTGTATTCAGGAGTGAAGAACTGGTTTCTAACTTTGTGACTGACAGATCTGAACCAAATCATTTAATAGTGCTTGCTGATTTGTTAAGGGATCTCTTTCAGGTCATCAAATGTAGTGACCTAAAGGAGCTGAATAGCTGGACTGCCTCCCTCTTAAGTTATTGACAGCTGATTGCAGTACCTCTTCTTTCTGGAGATCTTGCTCTTCTGTATTTTTTTTCCTTTTTTTCTCTTTTTTGTTGCTGGGGGGGTTATGTTATGTTGATTGCAGTACCTCTTCTTTCTGGAGATCTTGCTCTTCTGTATTTTTTTTCCTTTTTTTCTCTTTTTTGTTGCTGGTACTGGGGGGGTTATGTTTGACAGTTTATATCTAATAATGGTTTAAAGAATGAGTCTTAAGTCCTTGCATTGTCTCAGGAGGAAAGAAAGAAGATGGATATTTTTTTAGGTGGGATTCCATTCCTTGGTTACTTTCAGGCTTTAGTATGTCACATTATTGTACCATCAGTTATTATAATCAGAATTGCTTCTTCCATATGAATAGCTAGTAAAAGACAATAGGACATTGTCTTAGCAAATTTATTTGCAAATCATTTTGGAGTATATGATATTTCTGCCTTTTCTGCGAGAAGAGTTTTTTGCTAGGAAAATTAAAGTAATTTTGCTGCCTTCTTTTTCAAGGAACGTGTTAGAAAAGAAACTTTCCTCAGATAGTGAAAACCTGGTGATGAAAGTGTCAAGATCATGTAGAATTTGGAAAAAAACAGCACCCCGTACTCAGTCAAAATAAGAGTTCTCCTATTGGCACTGGCACTGGCAAAATCATATTTGAAAAGAAGGGGAATATCTTTATTTTTAATCTCTTCTCTAGAGATGGTAACTCTTTTACTAGAAAGCTTAAGCCAATCCTTTCCTCAGCAGTGGAGGATGAGACTATGCAAGGCAAAAATGGGCATCTGTGTGAAGTGGCATATAGTTCCCAGAATCTTTTTCCTCAATTTTCATATTTGATGAGTTGGGAACTTTGCATCAGTGTTACTGTACTCACTCTCTAACTCTTCCCTTTTCTTTGAAGTTCATCTGGTCCTTCCCCCCCCTCCCCAGCTTCTGCTGAGTTTTGGAACAGATAGGAGCCCAAAGCGATTTTTAGGATTCTCCAGGTTGATTATAAATGTTTCTTGTTAATCTAAAAACATTCAGATCCGAGAGGGGGGAATATGGAATGGTAATGAGATAAACTGCAGCTGGGAATAATCAGTGTACAGTTTTAGTCCACCCTCCCTGTCTCTAGTTCAGACTCTCTTACTTTGAAGTTGCATGCTTGTACAATTTAAGGAATCTTCAGAAAGCTATATTTGACATTACTGGTGCTATGACAATAACTATATGGAAGACCCAGTAGTGATGCTCCATGATGAGTACTGCTTTGTTTCGTCTACGGAAAGTAAGTGTGCTCTGACTTGATCTATTTACATTTTGAGGAGAGGTGTTTGCTGATTACAGCTCTTTCTGTTTTAACAACTTAAATAGTATGACAGAAATGGTTTGTAGCTTCTCCTGGTTATTCTTTCTGGGGAAATATGGATAAATGGCAGCAAATAAGAAAATATCCACAACTATATGTAAAATGTCTGTAAACATATAATGACAATATTTTTCTGTATTTACTCATAGAAATAATTTCACACTTTAAATTAATAGATACCTGAGATGCTCTTATTTTACTGCAGTGTTCTTTCGTGCATTTTTACTGGTGCCCTAGTTTTATGAAGCTCAGGAGTAGTCACATGAATATATTCTTGGATTTTCATCCAATATTGTTGCTAAGGAAACATCATCTTTAATACTGTATCCTTGTCTGCAGCTTGTCTGTATTAATCAATGCCTGTTAATGCTCAGCACAAACCAAGTAAAGATGGAAAAATCTTAATTTCTTTTATAATAAAGTAGTTTATTACAGACTGTTCTCCTTCAGGATCCCCTGCCACTACAAACCTCACACAAATTGGAGGGTCATGTCCATGTCTCTGGTCTCGTCCCAAACAGACACAGTATGGACAGTTTTTATACTTTTTTTTTATATGCTGCCATTAATATTTAATATCATTAATCTAACATAGGTATTGTACAGTGCATGGATCTGGTCAAAATGGTGGGAATGCTTACATACTGCTCCAAAAGGGAGAAAGAACCTTTTCTGTATGAAGTATAAAAGAGGAGCTTGAATGCACTAAATTGAGAAACATACCCCTTTTCAGTATACTGTTAAAATTGTAATACTGTATTTCAGCCTGCTTTGAATATCTATCTAGGGAAAGACCTGTCAGTCAGAGGTATCAGTGGAAATCTCAGTTCTCTACAGATCCAGCTATTTGGTTTGTTGCAATAGTGACAGGCAGATTTTTCAAATTTTCTACTTCTGAACTCTTCTGAGAAGTATCGAATTTTATAGCCAATTTCAAAATTAATTTGACTTAGCAGTTTGTTAGCCTAATTCCTGCTTTGTTTCATGGTCACATTTGCCTTTTGGACATTTTCCTTCATATCTGCCTCTTCAGAGATGCTATGTTAGATCTAACATCTGTTCTTGAAAAGCCCAGGTCAGAAAGGCCAGAGGCAAGCAAGAAGGCCTGAAGAACTTGTCTCATTAGGAATATTTGTTTCCTTTTTTGGACAAGCAGCGATATCTCATTCATCAGCTTAGTCATCCTTCAAGGAAGAGGGAAGAAATCAGGCACAAGTTTACAGTCTAGCTGTGTGGGCTAGATGCAAGCACAGTTTCAGCAGTCTAACCTGGATAGGTCATCCCAGCTTTCATCACCACAGCAGTAAATGGAACATGAGTTCTCTCCTTCTGAGTGCAGAGCTTCTCGTTCCACTAAGCAATCTCCTCCTTCTCCCTAGGAGAGAAAATGCAAGAAAATCTGTGTGAGAGGGTCAGTGTACTTAAGTCCACAGAGCCCACACGAACAGATTTGGAAGCTGTCTTAAGACCTGAGCCACACTCACGCTTTTCTGCCTATCCTCAGGGACTGACTGGATGGATAGTAAGCAACTACTTTAAATACCACCCCAATAGTTGTATGCTATTAACACCTCTGTAGAGGTGACTTGGAGATCTTACCTGGGGTATCCAGAGACAACTTGCACTCATTGTTTGAGCCTGTTTACTGCATCACGCCCATGAGTCAACGTAGTCCCTCTATAGCAAATGTTTATGGTTATCCATTTCCGGGCACCCATTCTAGTTATATCTTTTTCTTTCTGCACCTAAGAAGCTATTTAAGGTGCATTGCTCAGGGCTGTTTTAATAATGAAAGTTCCTGAATATGTGAGTTGTATCAATGCTTTTACTCTAGAGGTTAGACCAAGATACTATATTTTTGTATTAATTGCTATGCCTGTAAGGATTGCTTAATCACTCATGATCCAATGAAAGAACTGAAAAGGGTCTCCATATTGCTTAAAACTGGAGTCTAATCCTCGAGTTTTGATCAGGACTCAAAATTTCAGACCTGGAATTCTGCATGGTGCCCTATGGGTGTAATAATAGCCAAGACTTGAATATTGAGGAAAAGCACCTTCTTACCATTCGCGGTTCATATGAAAATCATGTAAATAAGTGTGGCAGGTTTTTTTGTTAGTGTTGGTAATAGAAATAGCAGTCCCTTGACTCTTTCCATGCTTCCCTTTTCTGTCTGTCCTGATAGCCAGTGAGATAAAATACTTGCAAGTAGTACTTCAACCTATGCTTTACTCCTTGGTCTGGAAGAAATGGTGAGGGAATGTACTTTCTTCAGCCACTGCCAACAGCTCTGCTGTTCACTTTCCCTGAAATCCCTGCATATTGGCATTTTTTAAAAAAGCTTGCTGTTTTAAAAGATTTATTGTATATTTATTTTCTTCTGCTTTCAGTGACTGTCTAGAAAGGTTGTTAGCGATTTACTATAGAGACTGAAGTGATAGGGGAAGGACATTGATAATTCTGCAGTGTTTTCTGTTGTGATTAAAATACAGGCTTTGGATCTTAATTTGTGCTGCATTATTCCATATCAAGGCAGAATTTGGGCTCAGTTGTTTAAGCCAGTATTTTATACCATGATATAGAAAGAACTAATACTGTGATATTGCTATTAGTTAACATTTGCCATTTATTAATTAGAGAGGAAACATTCTCTATATTCACCTAGTATGCTTCAAGTGGAATTAGTTGGCACACTTGAGCTAGGATGACATTTTTCTGGCTCTTGGTAGTGCCTTTACTGTTGTCCCTTCCATCTCTGATGCGTTGCGTTTGTTGCTTCTGGTCTTTAGTTAGAAACATGCTAAGCTAATTTTTGGTTGCTGGAAAGTGTTTTGTAAGGTGTGGTGTGGGGGTGCTTTTGCATGTGTGCGTGTCCAGGGTGGTGCCTGAGCGTTTTTCAAAGTTGCAGTTGTGGGGTGGTTTTCACTTGCCTGAAACTGCACAATGCTCTAATAGCAGAGTTAAGTACACTATTGCAGTGGTCGTGAATCAGTCATAAGACTGCTGTGTTTTTACTTTTTCTCCTAGTTTCCGTCTCTTTTTTTTTTTCCTTACCTATTCTTTTCAATTCCTTTCTCTTCTTGAATTTCTTTATTGTCCATGTGGTCTTATCTCTCCCTCTCTGTGGTGTCATTGTAAAAATTAGATCATTTTGAATGCAGCATTTTCTCCCCCTCCAGATGTTTTTCCTTTTTTCCCCATGCATACACCATCTGCTTGTGTGTGCTCTGGGAGATGTGCAGGTGTTGGTCAGGATTAGGTGACAGAACTGAAGTGAAATGTGGTAAGTTTTGCCTGCCAGCTGCTTTCTGCATTGTTTTTTAATTATGAAGTTGCTCTGTCAAATAAAGAAGGAAGGGAAGAACCAGAGAAATAACTCTGGAATTGAAGAGAAGCAAAGTGGGGAAATGTTGGTTGCTTGATCCTGGTGCTGAGGATAATATGGAGTAGCATTATCTTTCCCATAGAAAAGTTGAAAGGTCCAGAGGCTTTTTACGTTTTGGAGAAATTTTGCAGTTAAAGGTTCCTCTCAGAGTTGTGGAATTTGTCAAGCAGTATCAACCAACTGAAATGCTATATGAAAATAGAAAAAATATAAAAGTGTGTTGCATAGTGTAGTATGAATTCATGAAATATTAAGCAACTTCTAACATGGTTTTCTCTTGCTCTTTTTGTATTTAACAAATGTATACATCTTTTGAGTTAGATCTTTTTTCTGGTCATTTCCTGATTAGCTTTATCCTGGCTATTTCTTCTATGTTTATAGACTCCCCTTGTCTCCACCCTTTGAACTTCATTTATGATGTTGCATAGTGTAGTATGAATTCATGAAATATTAAGCAACTTCTAACATGGTTTTCTCTTGCTCTTTTTGTATTTAACAAATGTATACATCTTTTGAGTTAGATCTTTTTTCTGGTCATTTCCTGATTAGCTTTATCCTGGCTATTTCTTCTATGTTTATAGACTCCCCTTGTCTCCACCCTTTGAACTTCATTTATGAAAATCTGCGTTCAGGTATAAGATCATCTTACCATTGGAAAGTGATCAACCTTTCTCCTGTCCAAGTAATGTTGAGAAGATAAATATGTTGTTAGTGGTTCTGTCCAGCAGTCTCTCGAGATCATTACTCTATGATTAGTTAGGGGAGGAAATTTTTTAGCCAAATGAAAGAGCCAACTTTTGAAATTTTATCTTCCTGACTCACATGTGGTATTTCTCGTGTAATTTTGGACAGCTGTACCTAGTCTGTGTAGAATGTCATCAAGTAGCTTGTTTGGGTTTCTATTAGAACATATTCTTACTTACTTTTCTGTATTATGAAATATGAATCTTCAGACCTCATGTCCTCCCTTGCAGCTTGCTTGCATAAACAAAACAAAAAGCTGTCTTGCTGACTAGCGTGCTTTCTAGCTTGGTCCCAGAGTTGACAAAACACTTGTGATGATCCTCTGTGGACTTTGAAAGACTCTGAAATACGAACTATAAGAACATTCTCTGCAATGTTAGAAATCTGAAAAGTTAATAATTATTCAAAATCAACTATTCCCAATTGTTCTGTATTAAAATTAAGACATTTAAGATAAAATTCATTTCACTTCAGTTTAGTCATCTGAAGTCTAGTCATAACATCTAGTCTAAGCTAGTCATGCTTTGGCTTGCTGTATGATCAGTGGAGAGATAGCTTCAGAAGGCTATTCAATCCTCTCATAAAAAGGATGTCAAGTAGTATGTGGAGTGAAGTACTTCTGGAGATGCATATCTCTCTCCATTGATGATAGATGTGTAGATAGCTAAACACTAACTTTTGTTGTCCATCCTTTGTGTTTTTAAATGTTTAATAAATAGAAAGGGAAAATAGGTATTTCTATAGTGCATGAAAATCTGACGTAATTTAATAAACTCTGTATTTTGGAACAGAGGATTAATGACTTATGCAATTAGTTTAATTGGAGAAGGCTTGAAGGTTCAAATTCAAGAAAGGTGGTGGCACGTACTGTATTAAGGGAATTTTACAGCTCTTGTGGAATCTGTGATACAAAATGATTTGTTAGTATCTACTATCAATGGGAAAATATTGTAAAATCATTTTAAAGGAAAAATATTAATGCAACCAACTTGGCAAATGTAAAAGTTTCATGCAAAAATATTTTATATCTTTTTCTTCGGCAGCCTTGCTTTGCATCCTGAACGTGTGTTGGTGGCAACAGGTCAAGTTGGAAAAGAACCATACATCTGCGTGTGGGACTCGTACACTGTGCAAACTGTATCTGTTCTGAAAGATGTTCACACACATGGTATAGCTTGCTTGGCTTTTGATTTAGATGGTCAGGTATGTAATTAATATTCTTTTTTCAAACACTTAAATTGTTTATCTGTCAGAAATCTTGTTATGTAGCTTTTTCTTTTTTTTAGGAAGTGTATTGACTCACAAATATGTGGCAAGAAAAGTATAACTTCAAAAGAGTTTTGAATGAGATGAGGTGGTAGGGAGATTCTTGTGGTCTGTGGGCCACAGTTCAGGGTTATACCAAATGGTTGGAGATAGTGGCCCTCCCCTGTGCAGGGGCATGTCTTGTGCACAATGTGATGGCAATCCTGTTGTGTTACTCATCTTGGACTCCAAATGTCTTCAGGCAGTATCCCCTTCTCTGTCATGCATTTTGCATGCGTTGATGGCTCTCCACATTTTGATTGTTTGTTCAGACTCATGTATCCTGGATCTAAGAGTCAAGAAAAAGGTTTTACTGGATTCTCATTTTGTTACTTTAAAACATTCTCTGAGAGTAAATTGGTTCTCAGAGCTGCTACTTACAAGGGAGATCATTTTTACCAGACACTTGCTCCTATGAATAAAGAGGCTTTCTTGATTGACGTATTAGAAATGGAAAATACACATTAGATAGCAGCTGAAGAGGTATTAGCCGTGCGAGTCCTTTCTGCAGTTGTGCTCTCCTTGTCTTATGCAGCATTTCTTCCCCTCCCCCTTAGCCTTGCAATGTGATGTTCAGATTTAGCTATATTCTCAGTTCCATTTGCTTGCTAAAAAGGTCAATATCTGTTACTTACTACTGCTTTCTCAAGTGAGGATGTATTTGTAGAGACCAGTTGCTGTCCTTATTAAGACAATATCAAATGGAGCTCTATTGAACACAAATAGAGGAAAGCCTAGCTGTAACTTGTTTCTGTTAAAACGTGTTGTAATTGTTGTAGGGAGGTTTTGAGTTTGTTGGAATGATCTACAAATTTTATCATTTAGGTTTCTCATTGTTTAGAGAGTCAACTTCTAGAGTCAGCTTCTTTCTAGAACATCATTTCTACTTGACAGCGATATCTTTTCTCTACGTTGTTCTTGTCTGTGTAAACTCATGTCACTTCCTCACTTGAACAGCCTTAATAATTTAAAGTCAAAATGTATCTAATTAGGATTGAAGTCCCCTAACTCATTTTTAGAATGCAGTTACTCATCCTCTGTGTGTGTTGGAGAGATTTGAATGTAGATCTGTGATTTGTTCTAGGAGTACCCAGTACTGATTCTTATAAAGCCATAAATGGTCAGAATTTAGGCAGTCCACTTTTCTCAGCTTTTCCATATGATCACCTTTTTTGTGCATTTGTTAGAATTTTGTAGTCTCAAAGGAAAGCTGGATACAGGTTTTTCAAGATCTGTGTCTCCAGAATACAGCAAAACACAAATCCAGTTCAGAAAGATCTACAAAATATGTTTGTGTACATCTTGCTTATCCTTTTAAATCCAAGTTTGTCAGAGTCCCTGACCAGTCTCTTTTAGAGGGTTGATATTAAACATACTTATTTGATATATTTGGCGTTATATGGGATTTTGATTTAGTAGAGTGATACAGCAGTATACTGAAATCACAACACCAGCAATTGCAATATACAGATGAATCACAAGAAAAAGTGGTTCCTATTCCTGGTCTCTGTATGATCACTGTCACAATGCTGGGCATCTCCAGTCACCAGGAAGGAATATGTGGATTGAAGTGAGGTCAAGCCCATTGCCCTCTTCAAAGTTTATTAGTTGTTCAGTTTTTATACTTCATGTTGGGCTGTGCCACATACACACTCTCCTCCCCACCCCCAACTGATCTGTCTAGCTCAGGAAGACATTATTTATTATTTATTTATTATCCTCTCTTAATTGTCTTGGGGAACCTGATGATTTACTGGTGCAGCTGTCTTACCCAAAACCAAGGTTACCCTCCAGTCTCCCTGGTGTTGAGAGAAGTTCAGCTTGCTTTATGGTGCATTCTTCCCTGAGCTCACTGGGTTTTTTTGTGCTTCTCTGAGCTCTACTCCACTGTGGGGGTGTGCTGGTTGGTAAGAAGATTTTCTAGTTCTTAGGAGAACCAAGAACATCATTTAATCTCCCTTTTTGCGAAGTCGTGTATTGGCTTATGGAAAGGCATCACCCAAATATTTTGTGATGGGTATGCAGTAATTGTAAAACTAGTCTGCATTTACACCTCTCATTCTGCAGTAGGACTGGAATTGAACTGGTTGGAAGTGTAGCTGGAATTGAAACTGATGTTCCTTCCGAGAATGTTTTCAAGGATGGAATAGGAAGGTTGGACTTTGCAGTATTGGAAAAATTGAAGTTGGCATTAATAAATAGGGAGCATGGATAGCAATTGTATTGTTTCTTTTTCTTCTCAGAATCTTGGAACTTTTCAGGCAGTAAAGAAATGATGTTATTGGGAATAGATTTCTGTCTTTGGGAAAAAATTTACTTAAGTTTGGGGTTTGGTTTGGCTTTTGCAAACTCACTTTGATAATCTACATAGGAATTGAACCTAAATTTTGCTTTAATGTGTGTAGGTATTAACTGCTGAACAGTGAAAAAAACTTTGTCCTAAAGATTTGCAAAGCTTTTGTTTATCAAAACTAAGATGTCACAATTCATGCATAAACTGAACAAAAAGACTTAATTTTCTTTCAAAACAAAACTCAAAATCACTCAGTTTCTTTTTATCTGATCTTTAATGCTGTTAGTCTTTCTGTTGAGAATTTCTTTAGGAAAAATAACATTTTGACTGGTTAACATATAGTAAAAGTGGACTGTTCGTCAATGTGGTCAATGATTTGTGTCAAGAAATCTGTGCAAAATATCTTCACAGTTGAAGACAAGACAGGCTGGAGAGCATAGGAGGATCTCAAACTTTTGTTTTTCTGTATTTTCTTGGAACAATCTTTTTGTCCTTCCTCATTTTACAGTTTAACTGGCTTCAGACTCCTCCTGAGTATTAAAGACTTCATAAAATTTGTATATTTGGGGTCTTGTTGGATTCTGGTTTGAGAAAGGATTCAGAAAGGAATAGTTACTCATACATGTTTTGAAGAATCAGGCAAAAGACTCTTAAAGCTTTTACCTGTTTTTAATCTTTTTCTGATTCCAGGAAGATTGAAGAAAATACTTTTTCTTTGTATCTCCTGAACTTGTAAAATAAAAACTTAAATTCTTCAAGGTATATGTAATTAAAGGTAAACACATGTAGCTTCATTAACGTCAGTGAGATTATTCCTTTTTGCAAATGTCTCCTGGCTGCTGCTTGCCATGTGTGCTATATGTAATTATATATATTAAACATTATAAGTCAGAAATCTATTGTTATCCGAGAAGATCTTACTTCTTTACGATCACGGTGTCATAACTGAAGAAACGCATCTATGGAAACTTTGGCATAAGATGATGTATCTTTAGTTTTCTTATATATCGAAAGGTAGCTATTGCTTCTAACTCAAATATGTTATGAATTTGTTATCATTCAAAATGATGACTCTAGCTTTCATTAATATACTGAGTTATTTTTCTTATTTTATTTGGACATTTTTAGCGTTTGGTCTCAGTTGGTTTGGATTCGAAAAACACAGTTTGTGTATGGGACTGGAGAAAAGGAAAATTGTTATCAATGGCTCCTGGTCATACAGACAGAGTAAGTATAACTAAGGAATTTGAGTGTCAATGTAATTTTAGTTTGTTAAACCATGTCTGTATATATATACTAGAGCTATGTCTGAACAAAAAACATTTTATGTTTTAGAAATTGAATTTGCATAAAGCTTGGATATGTATTAAGATATGTGAAGATATTTAAGATATGTACATTTATTTCTAAAATAAATTGTGTAACTCACTGTTTATTTGTGTATGGTTTATTGAGACTGTAAGCATGTAGGGGAAGTGCAAAATTAATGCACTTCCTAGACCCTAATCCCCATATGGGAAATTGAAATGCAAATAATTTCTTAAATTTTTCTAGTCCGTAAACAAACCTTTACGTTGTTTTATCATGTGTTGTAATTAACTCTAGGAAAAAAACCACAAACAGAACTAATATGAGCTATACATTGCAATCCAGTAGTTCCATTTAAAGCATTTCTAGCTGTCTGTTAATTTGCTACAAGTTTTTACTGTTTTAACTGTCCCATGCTAGAAAGGCCATCTCTGCTGACATCCTTGGGGGTTTTTTTTGTGCAGATATTTGATATTTCTTGGGATTTGTACCAACCAAACAAGCTCGTCAGCTGTGGCGTAAAACACATCAAGGTAATGAAATAAATGTCAATTCATAAAATATTTAAGCTGCAGTAGTTCATACTCTCTAAAATATATAAAAATAGAATCTAAAAGGAATATATAATTATAATATGAAAGGTCCTCTGTAAGAATAATGTTACTTCTTAGGAACTGCAATCACGGATCACACCTGACTACATTAGACATTTTACAAGATATATCTAGTGGAAAACAGACCATCTCTGCTCAAAAGAGTTCATGCCCCGACAGAAGGAGTGCAGAAGGAATGAAGCAGTTGTCAGTAGCATTGTATGTAATGTTCGTAATATAATTTAAAATTTAGGTTGTCTAAAACATGCTGTTTGAAATCCCAAGTAGCATAAGACAGGATGCACACGTTTAAGGTGAGTCCAGGTACTCAAGTTTCTGATTCTTGAACAATTAATGAATTGTTACACTGCAGAGGTGAAATGAGTTGAAAAACCATTTCTTACATTTTGAGAGAGCATGGGGATACAGTGGAAAGAGAAAGGAAAATGCTTGATCTTTCTTTTAATTCTTTTCTTTTCCCTGCTGTTATTCCTACCTTTGTCATTTTGAACATTTGAACATTTTGAACATTTGAACATTTGAACTCTGTACCTGTTACAGGATTCATAATTTGGACAGTTCATGTCTTTTTCAAGCAGAGAGTTTCTATAAAACACTCTGCTTTGATCCATGTACCAACTGCCGAGCAGAAACAGCTTCTTTTTCAGGTTTAACTCTGTCAGCAGGATTATCGATGCTTGACTGCCATCAAATATGTTTCCTAAAGCCACAGCGTTCTCCCATGCACTGTCTTCTGTGTTACCACATAACAGCAGTAGATGGCAGCTTGAAAGTTCTGTATTGCTCCTATGTGTAGGTTCCTATGGTGGGAAAAATGTGTTGCTTTTTATCCAGTGAACTTTTAGATTAGTATTTATTAATGGTTTATTGGAAAAAGTGTTCAATGTGTTGGCTAGATTGCATACATCTCTAATTTAGCATAGTGTTTAGCGTGTCATTTACAGATTTCCATGAGCTTGATTAATAATGATCCTTTTTTCTACTTCAAGATCTAAAAGGACCGTTATGCCAGGAGTGAGCTAGTATTTGCCAGCAGTGATTTAGTATATTTAAGGTGGCTTTATGATGTCAAAACATACCTATTTAGATAAGCAAAAGTTTATTTGAGCAACTTTCAAGGCTCTACGAAGCCTTTTTAAATAACAATAGCATTTTAAAAATAATTGGTGTTTCCTTTGAGAAAACATTAACTAAAAATCTGAATCCTAGAGACTTATAGGCGTTTGGATCAGGCAAGAGATTTTTGTTGATGTAGCTTGATTAATAATGATCCTTTTTTCTACTTCAAGATCTAAAAGGACCGTTATGCCAGGAGTGAGCTAGTATTTGCCAGCAGTGATTTAGTATATTTAAGGTGGCTTTATGATGTCAAAACATACCTATTTAGATAAGCAAAAGTTTATTTGAGCAACTTTCAAGGCTCTACGAAGCCTTTTTAAATAACAATAGCATTTTAATAATAATTGGTGTTTCCTTTGAGAAAACATTAAAAAATCTGAATCCTAGAGACTTATAGGCGTTTTCAGGCAAGAGGCTCTACGAAGCCTTTTTAAATAACAATAGCATTTTAAAAATAATTGGTGTTTCCTTTGAGAAAACATTAACTAAAAATCTGAATCCTAGAGACTTATAGGCGTTTGGATCAGGCAAGAGATTTTTGTTGATGTGTATTTTTCTTAAATCATCCCTCCTTTTTGTTCTTTTAGATATCAATAATTACTTACATGTTTGTAATACTATCATTTTTTTTCCTCACATGATATTTTATGCAAATTGTAATACTACTTAATCAAGTTATGTAGATAATTCCAAGTGAACTGGTACTGAGGAATTACTTCTCTTAGGTATGTTACCTACTTCCATATTGGAGCTAGGTGTTTAATTTATGCAGTGATTGTGCAGTTATTTCTCGAGCAACAACATAATCTATGACCTGTGTACTTTGGTTAAAGAAATACTAGTTAAGATACAGGGATTTGTCTAATCAGTATACGGTTATTTCTTAATTACAGTATTGCCGGTACAAAAATCAGTTCATTGAAACTGCTTACATTATCCTGTATTAACTGGAGTCTCTGCTAAGAATTTTGAATAGATTATTGGTAACAGAGAGACTTGCTGTGAAATACAGTTTCGTAAACATGTATACAGGGAACACGCTGAGACAATATAAGAGTGACCTGTCAGCAGTGATGAAATAAATGCTTTCACATTTTGCACTGGATTACTCCAGCAGCTTGTTGACTTTCCAGTGCACATTTACATGTTTGGACAGGAGGGTTTGAAGGGAATTTGCAAGTGCTGCTTGTCTGCAGAGATCTCAGAAACTAGAGTGTAGCTGGAGATTTGGTTGGCAAGTATTGTGCTCTGACAAGAGACTTTGCATGTGTCTTTAGGAGACATTAGTACGTGTTGGAGATCACCTAGGAGAAATTCACTCTCATGTGATTGCTGTAATCACATGCTAATGGTTTATTAGAAACTTGTCAAAAATGTCCGCCTTAGATGGCTGCTTTGCATGATCAGTGGTTCTGATGAGAAGTGGTAAGTCTATAATAAAACCAGCTGCTTTCAAACAGAGCAAATGGCAACCTTATCAGAAATGTACATGCTTAGATTGAATCTTTAAATGCCTAAAGTAACGTGAAGTACAAATACAGCATTTGCAAAGTGGAAGTCTTACATCAAAGAAAGATCAGATAATTCTATTATGAAATGCTTTTCAAAAATGACTGAAAATACAACTGACTCATAAAATACAATTTGAAAGAATATCAGTTTGATTTAATACTGATACCCTGAAACTCCTTCCCACCTAGTCTACAATGCTGATTTTATGGAAAGATAAAGTTGGCTAATAAGATAAAAAGTTGTTAACCAACTGGAGAATTAAAGCAGGGGAAAGGGTATGAAAAATGATGTCTTTTGGAGGTAAGGTACTTCTTTCACATGTACGTATTAAATTACAGGATATTAGCAAAATATCCATCTTTCTGAATCACTTTACTTTGCAGTTCTGGAGCTTGTGTGGCAATTCATTGACACCAAAACGTGGTGTTTTTGGCAAAACTGGTGATCTCCAAACTATATTGTGCCTAGCCTGTGCAAGGGATGAAGTGACATATTCTGGTGCACTGAATGGAGATATATATGTATGGAAAGGAATCAATCTTGTACGGACAATACAGGGAGCACATGCTGTAAGTATATCTCTTTAAATTAATACGAAATGTTAAATAGATTTCTGGAGAACTGGAAAGGGCAGTGTAAGGTCACCTGGTCAGTGTTCCTAAACAATTTCAATGATAGAATCATAGAATAGTTTGGGTTGGAAGGGACCTCTAAAGGTCATCTAGTCCAACCCCCCTGCCGTGGGCAGGGACATCTTCAACTAGATCAGGTTGCTCACAGCCCCGTCCAACCTGACCTTGAATGTTTCCAGGGATGGGGCATCCACCACCTCTCTGGGCAACCTGTGCCAGAGAGCTTCACCACCCTCAGCGTGAAAAATTTCTTCCTTATATCTAAAGGAAGTCTAAATCCACGCCCCTTTAGTTTAAAGCCATTCCCCCTTGTCCTGTCGCAACAGGCCCTGCTAAAAAATAAGTGCCAGTACCTACTGACCCTCAACCCAGTTAGAACTGCTGTTCTGCATATTCTGTTCGGGAACCTGCTTTATTGTTCTAATCATTGATGTTCTCATGAATTAGGGCTTTAATTTGGATTCCCCCCTACAACCAAATAATATTAACCAAAACTATAACAACTGTAACTAATGGTTTTGTTTATAGCAGCGCGAGCTACTTAATCTTTCTCAAGTTTCCGAAACAGTTAAATGGATTTAAAACTCAGTATTTAATACTTTGTTTTGTAAAAACCAATATATTTTTAGAAAGCTATGAAGCATGAAGAAATTAATTTAAAACAGGTACAAGAAAATGTTTCTTTATACAGTAAGCAGTGAATGTCTGGAAAGTGTTTCTGCAGGAAGCTGTGGAGGCAGATGTTATCGGCAGCTTAAAAAAGAATTTGTAGGCAATGGCTTTATGATCAGATACTAAAGGGAAGAGGCAAGCAGGTATCCTCCAAAATCCCTTTATGCTCTTTCAGCATCCACAATGTTGTAGTAGGGAAGAGATGACAGAAAATGGGCAGATGGTAAGAAATGGAACAGGTCCAAGACATGGCCAGGGAGACGGACTTTATTCTAACAGCAGAGGTTGCTGTCCAGCTCCGATGGAGAACGGGATCTCAGCAAGGGATGTTTTTGCTCACCTTGAGTCTCCGTGAGAGACCAAGGAGTATAGAGCAGTGATAAGCTCTGGTCATCTACACTTCATCTCATCTTGTCCCAGCTGCTCTTGCCTGTCAGCTTTTTCTCACAGAAGTGCAAAGACTCCACTCTCTCCTACACACTCTTCTGCTGGCAAGTCACCATGAAACTGCTACCATGTTCTTCCTTGGTGAGAAAATAGGTCTGGAGAGATTTTTTAAATTGTATTTAGTTAGTTAGTTTTACACCAGGTATCACTTTAACAGGTGATTATTTAAGTGGGAATAGTCAGTGCATTTTCTGTTTGCACTCCTTTCCCTGGAAAAAGGAACACTGGTCACAGCAATGCTGGTGAGTGACTCATCCCACTTCCAAACTTGAACTCGGCCAATAACCTGTATAATATGAGCTAGACCCTTTTCTAAAGTGTCAGATGCAACGTGCAGGCCCAGCACTTCCTTCCTTCCCAAGAAGATGTTCTCCATGCTATCAGCATAGGCTGGCCTGGGCCCATTGCTGGGCCCCCACTCAGAGAAAGTTCAGCAGATGAAGTCCAAGATGAGACAAAGACAGCCGAGTAGAATAATACCACCCCTGAGTGCTGGGAAGCCCTCCACTGAGTATCCACTCACACAGCTGTGGGTAGCAGTGGATTGCCACATACTCCAGGACACACTCAGTCTGGACATTGTCACTACCTGGGACTAGTTCCTGGACAGCTGACGTTCATTTTCTTGGTGAAGGAAGGGGACTTCTGTGATCTGGAAAAAAACTCATATTCAGTATTGTGTGTGTGGTACAGCACATTCATCCCCCCCCCCCCCCCCTCCTTTCTTTCTGTTGCTTAAGGTCGCTATTGTGGTAGAAAGTGAATGCTAGATTGAGAAATACATTTAGGTGTTTGTTTATGTACTGTCTCCCTTTATCATTGATGGACTTAGTAGAGCCTGGAATGCGTTTAAGTTTAGCCTTAAGTAGACATGTATTACTCTGTTCAATTGCCCATGTGTCGGTATATATAGTGACATTTTATATACCAGGGTTGAGTATATAGCTGCCTCCCCCAAAGAATATGGATCTACTTTATCTGACTTTCTTTTGTGGATGTCTGATTAATCCAAAAGCATCTCAGAAGGCCTGGACTCCTATATTTAGGCAATTGGTGTTGAAACAAAGACACAGGCCCCCAGAGAGGCTGTGGAGTCTCCATCCGCATCTCTGTCCATTTGGAGATACTCACAACATGGCTGGACACAGCCCTGAGCAACCTGCTGTTATCTGACCCTGCTTTGAGCAGAGGTTTGGACTAGAAGCTCTCCAGAGTTCTTCCCCAACATCAGCTATTCTGTCATTCCGTGAATTGAGTCCTACTGTCTGGTTGTCTGATAGCTCTGTAGAGTCCATTGATTCTATGAACGGTAATATAAGCCCAAACACCTGGCTCATTTGTAGACACGTATGTTTAGTCATTTTAGCTTGACTCAATCACTCTTCCTTGTCCTATGTTGCTGCCTTTTACTGTATTCATTCAGCTTTTTAGAACAGTATACAGCTTTGAAAAGTGAAGATATATCCGTGAAAGTTTAATAAAATTTTTCAAAATGCTTGGTAAGATTTTCTTTTAATCAAAATGTTTTATGCAACTATGAAGTTATTGTATTTTTGCTACGTAAGTTTTCATTATATTTTTCCATATTCATTCAAAGCATATGGTTTTGTGATTAAAGTAGGCAGCAAAAAAACACTTAGTGGTTTGCAATCTAATTTGTGCATGCCAAACTGAGAGAGTCATTTCCTCTCATGGTAGTAAGTCATATACAGTAATATAATGCAAGATTCAACTTCTAACTTGTCCAAGTATCACTTCAAAAACAAAGCAAATCAATTTCTGGTTGTTTTAACCTACGAGGCATGAAACGGCTAAGGTAGCTTCATGAAGCTGTATTATTTGCTGGTTGAAGGTTGATTTTCGTTTCAGAAAGCATTGTACTTTCTAGATAATATTTGAAGTTCCCTTATTAATGATTTTAAATAGCGTGAAAATACAAGCATATGAGTTCCTAGATTGCAGCTTTGAAATTCTAGGTAAAAATCAATAACAGTTAATTATTCTTTCTTATAAGGATGCGTTTGTTTTAACTGGCAGTATTGGACTGGATGGGATGATGTATGTAACTGAAGTATTAAAATCACTGTTTATGATTTGATCAGGTAGAATGGAGGTGACAAAAAGTGATGAATGGTATGTATGTGTGAGAGATTGCAGTCAGTCTGTAGTAAGGAGACTCTTGGTTTACTGATGATTTAGAAATGTACATTCAGGATGGTTGCAGCTTGTTGAATTAACTAATTGAAAAGCGATTGGACTGCTTATTCAGACAGCTGTATAATGACAGTGTGATTATGAATAAAAATAAAGTTATGAAGAACGTAAGTGTGAAAAACATTCTAGACTATATGTTGAGATGTCTTTATATACATATAAGTGTATGTATATTTAAAAAAAATAAAATATATACACGCACGGATACCCTCCTGTGTGCATCTATAGAAATATTAAATGTATTCAAGAAGGCGCAAATTATAAACCAAGAAGTATGAGGGGATATTTTAGTTTTCGAATATTCCCTGGTTCTTACTCTATATCTTCAGATCTGGTTTTAGTGTTCAACAGTGTTCTGTTCTATTCTATATTTTCCTATGGTGACATGGACATTTACTTTTTGATGTTGAAGTTAGTGAAATGAAATTTTTAAAATGCTTATATTGCATATGCAGAACTGGATTCCCAGAGAAAAGAGCGTGCTTTGTCTCCTATCCAAAACTGATCAGGAAAATACCCTCCCATGCTGTTCGATGCTGTAGGAGACACCTGTCCTGTATATTCACTTATTTGTTACTTGGAGTATTTAGAATTGCAACAGTTTATTTCTCAGAATAATGCAGTGCTTTTCAGCTGTTTCAGTGTGAAATGACCCAACTGATACAAACGTAGGATGATGAGAGCTTGCTGCTCCATTACTTTACGTGCTGTGTCAGTTCTTTGTTGACCACAAGATCAAATTTGAAGTGTTCTGCTCCTTATCTTCAGTAGTGTCGGTGGATGGAGCTCAGGTGACCTTGGAGCAGGTCTCATCTAGCCTTCTATTTTTGTCTCTGTCCTTTAGGCTCAATGGAATTGTACTTTGCAGTACTGAAAATTAAGTAGGGGCACTAGTCCATGGCTTTGGAATTCATTTTCACAAGAGATTAGAGTCACTACAAATCTCACCAATTTCAGGGGGAGAAAAAACCCCAATAAAATCTCTTCTGGAAGCTTACTTTCCAACAAAATGAAACCTTGTTTTTCAATAAAATATTACTGTAAAGGATAATATTGTCAGACTATTGTAAGCACAAAATAGAGCAGCTTGGAATAAGAGTGCCTCTTCAGCCATACTAAACCATTACCATAATATTTTACAGTTAGTTTGTACTTAATTTTATAAATCATGTCCTTCTTGTCCATTCTTTTAAAAGAAAACGCAAGTGTAAATGATAACTTTTGTGATGTGCATATGTTGTTAAAAGCACAGTGTGCGCATAGTAGGGAATTGATACAAATTTCCGTTCAGTATGCTAGTGTTGGAATTGTCATCCCTGCATGCCTGTTTATCATCCCGCATCATTACTCCTCAACAGGCTTGAATTAAACTGAAAATTTATTCAAGGAAAACGTCTCATTATTTGCATAAAGTACCATGTATCCCTTTCTTGCAGCATAAACAGCAGGTATCCGAGATGCAGGAAAACATTTTCTAAAGCGCGTTAGTGATGTGGGGATATAGTCCATCCAGCTGGCAGTGGTCTGCATTAATATAGAAAACAGGTCCTTTTCAAAGGTTGGCTACCTTTGTTACAGTTACCCTAGTTGAAAAGACATTTTTTATTTTAAGAGTAATTCAATGTGAAAAATAAACCATGCTGTCCCAGTATAAGCAACCAAGGAAACAGCAACTTTAGCAAGCAAAATAAGAATTCACAGCTAAGCCAGATTATCAGTCTTCTGTCACAGCAATACCAAGAACTGTAGACAGAGTTTACAGTGGTGAGCCACTACTGTGAAATATAATCTTCCTATCTAACAAATCACCTGTAAAAGAGTTAAAAACCGGGCATATTACTATGAAAAAAATTTAAAATAGTTGCCTATACGCCTCTCATTGGCTGAAATAAGTGGATGTGTGAAACATTCCTATCTGAGCTTGAGTAGAAACAAAAAGTTGAAAGCAAATCGGTTGGGATGACTGGAGAGTTGGTTGGAAGAGGACTGGAGAGTTCACTTAATGTAGAAGTAGGAATGAAAAGTAGGAAAAGATGGAAACGAGCAGGGGTTAAGAGTAAAGGCACAGAATTCATGTGCAAGGAACACTGGATGGCAATGGGAAACTCAAATTCTAGTTTTGCTGATCTCTCCTAAATAATAAGAACTAATAATGAAAGTTTTAAAAGGGAGAAAGAAAACAGCAACATGAAAGCATATGTAAGTTCATTGGCACTGGTAGTACTTCAGGAGGTTATTTGTAGGCAGTGCATCTGATTCTGGAAAGTTAATATATACCTTGACTAAAAAAAACCAAAATATTTTATTAGATGTCTCATTTTTGTACCAGTGCAAAGAACAGACTATAGATTCTTCTATTTTATCATCTGACGTGTTCTAAATTCAAGGTAGTCCATGAGTATTAAGATATATATACAAGATGTTACTCAGGTATTAAAACAAAATAGTATGCTTATTTAAAAACACTGTACGTTTTAAAGATTCTTGTGTGCTATGCCTTTGCCTTGCATGGTAAACGTACATAAGATGCTTTCTCAGCAGCTGAATAATTTATTTTGAGATAGTCTTTCAGAGGTGCACATTAAAGTTGTGTGGATTGATGTCAGAAACAGGTTAAATAACAGGCTCGAGGTTAAATAACAGGCACTCTGTTAAAACCATTGCATGCCTATGTCAGTTGGCTGAATACTAATTAAATATAGATGGAAACAATATAATGAACTTAAATGGATGGTTTTAAGCTGGTATCATGTACTAACACGTGAAGTTGTGCAGTATTTTTCTCCTACTGCATAGATTAGTCGTAGATTTGAAAGGTAACTGTCCACTTATTTCAGCCAATGAGAGGCGTATAGGCAACTATTTTAAATTTTTTTCATAGTAATATGCCCGTTTTTTAACTCCTTTACGGGTGATTTGTTAGATAGGAAGATTAAATTTCACAGTAGTGGCTCTCCACTGTAAACTTACTGACACCAGCCTTAAATGTTGGCATTCCATTTCCTTGCTATGCAGTATGTATTGGGAGAGAATATCTTAGAATAAGTGCCCAACATACATGTTGCTTTACATGTTAGCATCTATGTCCTGGATTGTTTCTAGAAGTAAAAAGGTGGCACTGGAGTTCTTATTGAACTGGTATAATGTCTCTGTTCTTCCTATTGCTCAGTAGTAGTCAGTTGCTTCTGAAGTTTCCATATGATCTTTCAAGCTTGGTCCTAATTATAGCTAACTGCAGTCATGCGTTTCAGGAATTGCATAGTCAGAGTTAGTGTAGTGGATTTTATATAAATGACTGCATTTAGATAAATTAACACTTGATTTTTGTCCATTGGAAGCAAGATAGGTCCAGCAGCAATAGAAAACCTGAGACTACCTCACTATTGGAAGCTTCTTGGATACAAGCAGTGGCAAAATGTTCATGCAGTAGAGACCATCTTTTTCAAATTCTTCTTGTACTTTTCCAGCTTTCAACTATCATTTCTGGTAGATCTGAGCATTTATTTTTGTTTGCTCTCATTCAACTGTTTTTTTTTAATTTGAGGGAACACAGATGTGATACCAGCTGGTTATATTGGAAAAATAGGAAATACTCTGCATTCTGAGAAAACCGCTGATCAATTTGAGATGTTATTTCCAGAATTCTTCCGTTCATTAGGAAGCGTAATGAAAAATTTGTAACAGAAGAATGCAGTCTGTATATCAAACTTCGTAACTTTTAAGATGGAAGACTTTGAGCCACACCTTTTTTTTGATTCAGGAGCACAATCAATCTTTGTTGCTCGCATTATTCAAGTGGATCAAACAAAGTCAATGCAATTGTTTGCTTCTCATTACTGCTAGAAGGCTATTGACCATCAAGAATCAAATTATGTTAATGACAATTTCAGGCTGAAGTATTAAGAGAAGCATGAAGACTCCAAAGTTGATTTGCATTAACAATCTTGACAGTTTCTGAAAGGAAAGATTTAGTGGAAGACTTATGACTGGCCAAGCTACCAGAGTAAAGAATCTGTCTTTTCCCCGTTAAGTGTGGGCCTAATAATTAAATGAAGAGTAGTGAAGCTCAGCTTCTTCCATTAGGTATTTACAGTCCCCATTAATAAGGGACCTTTTTTCTAGTTTTCATCTAACTCTTCTATTCCAGTGGCACATAGAGTGAAATGAGAATGTCCTATTGCATTTCAAGAGATTGAGCAAGCACATCTGCCAAATCTCCTTGACAACCAGTATGTCCTTTTCAAGATAAGGATATTCTGTGAAATGGAAAACAGATTAATCCTGGATCCACTTGATCTTATCTTCAGAACATTCAGCCAGCTTCCCACTTCGCCAAATGTCTGATTCTTTTTTTAGAACTGACTAATTAAATAATGGATTTTGGAAGGAGTTAATTAGAGAAAAGAGAATAGTTCTATTATCAAGGTTGCATTCCAAAAAGAGCTTTAAAAGATGTAAATATGCCAGAACTCGGGCAGAATTCAGTATATGGTACAAAATGAGCCAAAATTCCTCTAGCGTTTTATTTGCTCAATGACGCTAAAAGGTTAATGCAGTAAAACAGACAGGCAGACACACACAGAGAAACAAATACAGTTTGGGTTGTATTTTCAAAAATCTCTAGGCTCCTAAAGAAACAGGATTTTCAGGACATTAGAGATAATGGGAGTTAGCCTTCTAATCTGCTTATGACTTAAAAATTCCACTACACTTCTGTTTAGGCATGTACTACTCCTGAAAATATGGCTTGTCTTAAAAGTCTGTATCCTGAGGATGGACATGACACGTCAAAAAACTTGAGTTCTGTCACCTTAGTCTTTCAGTTTTGATTGTCATTTGACATTCTAGTAATAATACGCTTTTTTTGTGAAAGCTGAGAGATTTCTTTTTTCTCAACTTGAAAAATGATATCCTTGTTACCTGATGCTAGAGAAGCAAACACAGTCCATATTTCATTATGATCAGTCCATTACGGTATTTTCCTTAGCTAAAATTTAAGAAGAAAAAACAGTTTGGTAGGAGAGGATAGTCATGAGTAACATGGGAATTCTCACAAGCCACAACACTGGATGCTAATTTGTTCTGTAAGTGTACAGCTTTATTTTCCCCCAAAAGCCAATCTCTCCCTTGCAAATTGCTTTCACTTTTGGGATTAATGTGTTTCAATACTGTAAAATCCAGACCCCCAACCAAAGAAACTATTGGAACATTACATTTACTTCTTTACAAAACTGAAATTTCAGAACAATATTGTAGAAGATATATGTCTGTTATTGGCTGTTCTACCTTCTTTTGGACAGGAGTTACAGAGACAGGATTTTTCCTTCCATCGTTTTTAATGCTCTTCTGTTTTGGCATAGCTGAATATTAAATATTTTCAAAAAATATAGAACTTTTTTTTTTTAACTTCTCATAGGCTTATTAACTAAAGTTGCCCTTTCAGTAGCTTTGCTTACTGAAATGCGTGAGCTACTTCAGAAAATAAGACTAGTGAGCTGTGTAGGCACTTTAAAAAAAAAAAAGTGTTTATGCTATTTAGATAATGTATCATGTTTACATTCAAATATAGTGGCTATGTAAATACAGTATCTTTGTTTTAATAAAAGATATATCATCCTTGCCTCTTTGTTATCCTGAAGAAAATGTATCAAGTGAGTTAAAGAAAATGTGTTAGGTTTTGTTTCCTGATGTCCACCTTTAAAATAAGAGCTTATATTAAGTATTTTTAAATGGTGTAGTGATCACTGGTTTTTTTAATATTTTGCTTCTAAACTTAAATTCTAAATCAATCTTCCTGGGCTTAAAAAGTAAAAAAATCCCAGGTGTTTTTTGCCTGGTTGCATAGAAGCTGAGTAATAGCAACAAAGGCCCTGAACCAAGTGTAATGGAGATCCGTGGAAATCCTCCTGCTGACATTTGTGAGACTTGGACCAGGGCCTAAGGCAAGAGGATAGGAAACTAAACTCTTTCTAGGGATAAGAAGCAGCATCACTACGATCACCATCAGGATGAAAGCAGTATTGCAACAATTCTCTTATCTTACTGTTTGTCACTGAATGTGGATTCTGCTTGTTTTGAGTTTGTTGCCATTTCTGGCTCATTCATATTTAAAACTTGTATTAGTTGCATATGTTCATGCTATTTTCAACAGTGTAACAGGTAGGAAGACAATCAATACCGGCATGGGCAAGAGTTCCACTTTCCATACCTGTGTATATTGTTAAAAATAACTTTCTTCTCTCTTTAGGCAGGAATTTTCAGCATGAATGCATGCGAAGAGGGGTTTGCCACTGGTGGCAGGGATGGCTGCGTTCGCTTGTGGGACTTAAACTTTAAACCAATTACTGTGATTGATCTCAGGGAAACAGACCAGGGATATAAAGGTAAAAAGAAGTTTGTCACTTTTGATATACCAGTAAGGTAGGAAACTTACCGGTGTTTTGAACAAGAAGACTTTAAAAAACCAAAAAGGTTGTTTCATGTAGATTACTGTGAACCGTTTGCTAGAAAAGAAATTTGATCATGCCCACTAGTATGAAGGTCATGTAGTCCTTCAGAGTTACTGTAAAACATACTATGAAGTTGTAGACACAGAAATTCAATTTTTTTTTCTTTTAAACCAATAAAACACACATCTTTTCTATAGCATAGCAGTTTTTAACAAGGAACAGTAGTGCTTTAAGAGAACTTGGAAGAGACAGTGAGATCCACAATGTAAAACAGTGGAGTACAGAAATTGCATTTGCTGGTTACCCAAATTTTCATAAAAACTATTTGGAAGTAATCTATAGTTTCATAGTACTTAGAACGTTGCTTACATGTACCTATTACTTCAATTACAGTTTATGTTGTGCTAAAATTTTATATCTAGCAGTCTATAGCATGATTTGTCAGTATTCTAGATATTGTTGCTGTAGTGATTCAGGAAAAGAATACAAACGTATACTGAAGCACTAATGTCACTTACAATATTGCTTTTGTTGGCATTTGGTTTTCTTTGCCACCAGCCACTTTGTTATTTTTCTAATATCTTGCCAAGAAATTGACAATGTGGTAGAATGTCTGTGATGGCAATCAGATATTCAGGGTCAATAAATAATTGATTGCAAGTTAAATCTTTGTATTCTGTAATTGATTTGGCATTCCCACCAAGATTGTGAAATATTGCAACAAGATAATACATTTTATTTTAAATGCCCTGCAGTACAGTGACTCTGTTTTAAATTTAAACGTACTCAGCTGCTGTTTCTCAGCTCTCTTGCATGTAGTTGAAAGCTGTGTTTCATTCCCCGTTTCATTCTTTCAAACTTGTTCTCCACTCCAGATTGTCTCCTTTACTTTTGATGGAACAGACTCTTGCCATTAACTGTTTTGGTTCTTCTTGATCACTTATGTGAACTCCATCCTCATCTTTTTGACTTGTCAAATGCCCATGATAGAGCTAATAGATTTTTAAAAATCCTATCTTTAATAAGTTCAGTTTCTTGAATCTTTTCCCTTTGGTCTTTTTTTTCTTATTGTATCCTTTTGAGGATTGCCTTTATGACCTGTCCTTCTACTCGTTTTCTTAATTGTATTTTTTGCTACTCCTATACCTCAACTCTTGGTAGTTTTATCCGTGAACAGGAACTCAAGTTCTGTATCCCTGTGAATGGCTCACAGAGCAATTAGTTGACTCTAGATATATCTCCAAGTAGTCAAATTATTTTTCAAAATATCTCCCTCCACCACAAGAAGTTCCAAATTACTAAACCAGTTGTCTTAATCATACTTCATCAAAGACTCTGGTTGTTTGTTTCTTTATTTTTTAATTACTGTAGACAGTATAGCCATATAATGTCTAGATTATAGGGCTGAATGGTAAGGTGGTTATATTCACCAGTGCAGCACAATAGGAACAAATCTGTAAAGCAAAACAGTTGGTGTGGAGGGTTAGAGTAGCACAATATACATGCATTTTGAGGGGTGTTAGCTCTAGTCTGGTTCAGTGGACTGAACATTGTATTGCAATTGGAGTGCACTGAGTGCACTCCTGGAGCACATCTTTCAGTTCTGTTTCATATGGAGGGAGTCTTATTTGTGCATTTGAAGGCTATCTTGTAATGCAAGGCATGGTAAGTAGGCACAATGAGAAGCTTTGCTTTGAAAGCCAGCTTTGTCAGAATTAAACATCAGTGCAGATGCACCAGACTGGCCTGCTAACCCACCCATTCACAGTTTCTGAGACTTGCAATTTTTTTCCAATGTAAATTTAATAACATAAGGATCTTCTTTTTCCTCTAAATAGTTAAAAATATTTTTCAGAAGCACATCAACTCATTCCATTACAATATGCCTTTCTCTCATCTGATAGATATAATTTTGTCTCGCATATTAATCCAGAGTAGTTTTTCAAAGATCACTCTTGAGCTACTCTCCACGAAAGTCAGTGTTTAGGCAAAGTCAATTAAGTTAGGCATTGCTACCATCTGGTTATCTACACCTGAAATTGGCAAAATTGAGTTGCGCTATCAGAATGTAATAAATGCAGCCTGTTTTAAAAGGTGCATGTTCCTAAAATTGGGCACCTGAGACTGGGTTCTCAGTGTACTACTGTCCTAACTTCCATTTTATTATTCCCAACCTTATCTACAAACAAGTGCAGCCTGTGAGTGCTCACCTCCACTGTAAGCCTGGAAACTAATTCCGTTGTTAGAAATGCATGTTAAATTCCATCATAAACCCTTTTCATCTCTTTATATGTTGTTTCAGTTTGACCTATTTTTATTTTCTATTTAGTGGGAAAAATAATTCCAGACACTATTAAGATGTTACAAAGATTTGCTTTAGGGGAAGCATCTTGGAAACAAGCTGGGGAGAATTGGGCTCTTTGACTGTCTTACATATAATGCATGTTCCACTGATGCTTCTGGCACCTATATAATTTAGGTTCATCTACCTAGTACTAAGGTCCATGGTTTGATCAGAAATTGTAATTTATATTGTCTGCTACCTTTGTTGAAATTTAAAGACGTTAAATGTGTAATTTCTGATGCAAATGTCAGTATTACCTTTCTCTGTCAGAGATTGGCTACATGTCCTTTATTAAAATAAGGCTCCCATTTTATTTTAGAATTTTTGTAATACTGAGCTTGAAAAGTTAATGTTCCAAGGGCAGTATGTGTTACATGGAATAGATAAAAGGAGTAAATGGTGGAGTAAGAGAAGGTATATGGATGCTTCTTGACATTTTCTTGCTTTTATGTTTTGTCATGTGCTATGTTACCTTTGTTTCACAAATTCTCAGGATGTATCTCTCAGTAACAATCTCTTCTACAGGTCTGTCTGTAAGAAGTGTTTGCTGGAGAGGAGACCATATACTCGTCGGGACACAAGATAGTGAAATTTTTGAAATTGTGGTGCATGAGCGTAATAAGCCTTTCCTGATAATGCAGGGGCACTGTGAAGGAGAGCTGTGGGCTTTGGCTGTCCATCCTACAAAACCGCTAGCAATGACTGGAAGTGATGATCGATCAGTCAGGTTAAATCTTGTTTGTTTGTTTAACTGCATATAGTTTTATACAAACAGCTCATTTTGTAGATAACCTAATTGAAATGTATACATTTTAAAGGTATTAAAGTGTGGCATTGAAGTGTTTCTGATCTAGTTCAGTTACGCGTGAAATTAGTGCTCTCCAGTAATAAAATATAGTGAAAATGTGTATTTCACAAAAATGAAATGTACAAAATTTGAACAAATTTCATTTAGCCTAACATTAAGCACTCATACACAAGTATCCTGTAAGTGTTTCCTTTTCAGGAGTTATGTTAGGCATTCACAGGTTACAATGAAAAAAATTGTAATAAAAACTTACAATTTTTACTCTACCATAGTCATTTTTCACATGCTGCGAATTAACTTTTAGCTTGGGATTTTCATCAAATTTAACACATGCATAGGAAATAAAATCTATATTCAAAGAAAACCCAGTAAATTACTCCCTTTTACAAGTTCATCTTTTTTTGTCAAAAACACCTTTTCTTTTCTTTCTTAGAAATTAAATGTGTTGGCATTTTTGTTAACTATCTTAAGTGTAACGTGGTTAAGCAAAACAGTAGTTGAATTATGAATATTGAAATAATGCTCTAGAATTCCAGATATACCTTGTAAATGGTAGATGTTATAATGTATCTTGTAGTAAAAACTTCCATGTTATAATATTATCTAGTTATATGTAAGGAGTTATGAATAATGACTTGTTAATAGGAAAGGATCTGTTTACTGAGCAAAGTCTTTAATTGTTCTTTAATGTTCTTCTTGGCTAAAATGGTTAACAAAATAGTGGAATTTTCACAGAGTGGTCTAAAAGTATATATTGTCACATGTTGTCATTCTTTTTATATTCAGAAAGTCAAACAAAATTAATCTGCCCTTGCATTTTCTCATTAGATATTTTCTCGCTATGTTAAATATAAGAATATTCTTTGCTGTGTGCAAAATTCACACTTTTGTCTTAGATTTTCCTTGTGGAAAATTATTTTAAAATAGGACACTACCATGTGCAGCGTTCTGCAGAAATTGCAGGCTTCATGCTGTCTATGACACAGCTACAAACCACTCCTTACATTTGTACTTTATTTTAGAATTTGGAGTTTAATAGACCATGCTCTGATTGCCCGATGCAATATGGAGGAACCCATTCGCTGTGCTGCAGTTAGTACTGATGGAATCCATCTCGCTCTTGGAATGAAGGATGGCTCTTTCACTGTGCTTCGAGTCAGGTATGTTACAAAAATTAAAGATAGATATGTTATTATCTCTTTCAAGCATGTTCTCTAATTGCTTTTATAAACTGTATGTATATTGACACTGTAGTGACCATACATGAGGAGATCACTTACGTTTCTGTTTTAAATTACTCATCTTGAGGGTGCTCAGATTTTTTAAATGTGTGCGCTACATGTGTTCATGTTGTTCCATAACAACACATTTGAAAAAGTATATTGGTCTATTTGCAAAGAGTGGCAGTGTTCTAAGAAGTGTTTTACTTTAGGTTTTAGCTTTATTAATTATTCTTGAATTATTAAGAAATAAATTTTCATTACTTGCTAAATTGCTTCCATGTGTTGGAATGCTGCTGTCAGCACATCACGCATACAAAAACAGTGCTGCCTTGTTGCTGTGATCCCACAGTTTTAAAGGGAAAATGAGATCTATGTCTCATGTCAGTGAAGTTTTCTTCCCTGAGTGAATAAAGATCTGGTCATCTACCTGATTACTTTTTTTTTTGTGGACCCAGCTTGAACAGTTCCTTTTGTTCGCTCTCCCTCAGCCCAGTGCAGCACCTTCTTGTGTCACTGTTCCCTTCTCTTTTTTTGGCTGTGAAGCCCTACCCAACTCTAAAAATAGCAGTGTTGTGTTTGCACATATGCTAGTAAAGTTTACTTCATCATTTCACAATTTTGTCCATTTTTTTAAAACTGGGAACTTGACAGTATGATAAGGCTCTTCTATACTTATGACATGCTTTCTTTCATACTACAGAGATATGACTGAGGTTGTTCATATCAAAGACAGGAAAGAAGCTATTCATGAACTGAAATACTCACCAGATGGGAATTTCCTAGCTGTTGGTTCCAATGACAGCTCTGTGGATATATATGGTGTTGTTCAGCGATACAAGAAAGTTGGGGAATGTATTGGATCTTTAAGTTTCATTACCCATATGGATTGGTCTTTGGACAGTAAATACTTACAGACCAATGATGGCAACGGGAAGAGACTTTTTTACAGGATGCCAAGTAAGATTCTGAGTTGCCTTTATGATATTTGTTACTTATTACAGAAAGAATGTATAGTAGTTTTGTAAAAACAGACAAATATAGATCCTGGTTCAAAGCACTGGGTTATAGAGAATTTTTTTTCTAAGTTCATATAAATATTTGCTATATTTGAATAAGTACAGCATTTTCTGGCAAAGTTACTTAACTATTTTTATCCTTACATGTTTACTCTTCTTTATAATGCATCTTTTCATGGTAGAGATGCTGGCTTATAATTTATTTTATTTCTCAAAACTAAATCTTCACTCCCACTTTTTTAGAAAAAGAAAAATATTGCATTCAAATTCAGTTTTTGCAGTAGCTTAATAACTTTGTGCTTACTGAGCTTGGATGTTAAATGGATTATCATTTGCTTGCACTGTATGTTTTTTAAAATGTGTGGAAAAATCCATATGTTGCATCTCGGAAGAGTTATCTGGTTTTCTAGAACTATGTTTGCAGCAGAACTGAGGAATTTAACTTAAAAGAGCTTTTACAGTGAGAAATTTGTAATAGATAGAAACAATCGGAATGCAAATGAATTTGGAAGTATAATGAGATTGGCTAACTGTAGAGAAAATAAGAGTAACTGATATAAGTATGCCAGAATATTAGGAATTACTCACTGGAAACAAAAGAAATATTGAAGCTGTGATACATACATGATTCAATCATGCAACCTTCAAAATGAACAAAAATATCAAAATGAAATTTAGCTGGGCAGTCTACTGATAATGCAAGTTCAAATGTGTCTTTTTTATGGCAGGGGACTATTAAAGAAAATTAGTACATTACATAGTATTAAAATATAGTTTTCAGATTCAAAGTTTGTGACAAACCCATTATTGTAAATATTTTCAAGACAACACTGTCTTGAAAACTTGACTGAACTCTTGAACCATGCTCTTGAAAGAGTTTTCATCAAGACAATTCCCCCTGCAAGAGGACATATGCACATAGTACATATATCTTAAAGCTTCAAATTTAAGTAGTCCTGATTACAATATGTCAAGGGCAGTATTTGTCACAAGGTTTGACTTGTTTCTTCTGGGTGTATACACTCTTTACATAATATCATTCTATATTTTTCCCACTCATCATATTTGTAGTAAGTATTTATTATCATCACCACTTACTATATTGTCCCTTCATTTGTTATACAATATTTACGCTTTGCATTGTACATTATTTATAGTTCCATGGAGCTTTTTGTGACTCTTTGCTGAAGCATCTAATTCATTCTGTTCACAAGTTTGATTTTGTGCACTGAAGGAGACAGAAGTTATGTAAGAAAAGATAGTAAATGAGAACTTAATTGGACTGTAACAAATACATACACACAGGAGGAGCAATTTCAGGTTACATAGGCAGCTTTCAGCCTGGAGTTTCTTGATGTATTAGAATGTGGGATTGTGAAAGCTTGTTTATGAAAAAGTGTAGCACGGTCAGTGAAGTTAGAGGAATCTCCTAAATATTTTAAAGTAATGACCAGAATCATGTAACACTTGAAAGTCCACTATAAATGAGTAAGGAACTTACAGTTGCCTAATACAAGATCTGTAGGACTTAGCCACGGATATAACCAGTATTAGTAGTCATCGTTTACATGGATTAGTGATTGAAAGAGATTACAAGGTAAACCTTGTCAAAGGGTGCAGTTATTTCATCAGAGCTGAAGGATCTTCAAACAGGGCACTTGAGTTCCTTTCCAGTTTTTGGAGGGGTATATAGTAGTTAAACTTTTCCTTGAGTGTGGGGTGTGTGTTTGTTTGTCTGTTTGTTTTTTCCTTTGTGATTTATTTGCCATTTTGCTTTATCTTCTCTATGGCTGTTCTTTACTCTGTTTGTTTCGGTCCACTTGAGTTCTCCCTTGCCCTATCCCTCTGTTGAAAACTTACCTCCTTACAGTACCTGAGGCTGCTCTCCCCTCCCCTCCCCTCCCCTCCCCCTCCCCCTAGTCAGAATCCTATTAACAATAAGAAAACAGGAAAAAAACCAGCCCAGTTGCCTTCAATTTTGTTACCACTGAAGACAGAGGTGAATTGTTGGCAGTGTCCTGCTCAGGTTGTGCAGTTGCGCACTCAGTCCGACTCACAACTTTTACATTTGCTTGCATTGTTCTTGTGTTGCTCCTGCAGTCTGCTTCTGGCCGTTCCTGAAGACAGTATTTATTAAATGGGCCTTTGGTCTGACTCAGTACTGAGCTCTTACATGAAACTTTGTGGGATTGGAACAATCTCATTACAGATAGAGCTGATATGAAATAATGTAACAAGGATCTAAGCATAAAACTGGTACTTTCAGTAATATACAGTGGCCAGATCTAAATGAGTTCTTCAGTTTTTGCTCTAAACAATCCAGGTTTCTAGAAGAGTTCAGCAACAGAATTTTTCCAAACTTTATCTTAGAATGGCTACATGTATTTTTTGATACATATTTAAAAATAACACAGCCTCAAGCAGATATCAAGAAATAATAAAAACTTCAAAGTACCAAACCCATGATCTTCTGTTAAGTAGTCTTGAGAAGCCTTACTACTGATACTGTTGGTCATAATAGGGAATATTCGATCAGGACAGTTTTAGAAGTCAATTTTTAATTCTTCCTCAGTTGGATTTGATTTCTGGAGAATTTCAAAAATTTTACATTCTTTAAAATTGCATAAGTGAATATTGAAAAATAGCTCTTTATTTTTGTTCTTAGGTGGAAAAGAAGTAACAAACAAGGAGGAATTAAAAGGCGTTCAGTGGGCATCATGGACCTGTGTTTCTGGCCTTGAAGTTAATGGAATCTGGCCATTATAAATGTGTATTTCTGAATTTTGGTTATTCAAGAAAAAGGTTTTAGAAACGGGGTTTTTGAAAATTATATAAATGGCCAATATTTATTCTTAGAAGTTTAGTTTGAGCTCAAGTGGAAAACAAAATAATAGGCTGGTGTTATTGACAGCTGTAATAGTATTTTATTTGCATTTTGAGGTTTTAGAATCTGGGTTTTTGAAAATTATATAAATGGCCAATATTTATTCTTAGAAGTTTAGTTTGAGCTCAAAGGTGGAAAACAATAATAGGCTGGTGTTATTGACAGCTGTAATAGTATTTTATTTGCATTTTGAATAGGATAGCCAAAAGTTTTACATATATTTTATTTTGTAAAATAGGTTTGTTTGTTTGTTTTTTAATAAAATTTCACGAGGTGATAAAATATCTACCCTTTTATGAGATACATATCTTGAAGACGAAGATGAAATACTTAAAGTAGTTTTCTTCCTTCCTCTGGATCTATGATGGAGATTTGGGCTAGGAAGTAGAAAAAATAACTTTACTAAATGATTAGAGGCAATAAATAAGTGAATAGCAAGTTGGTCCTGTAACTAGAGTATGCCACTGTATGTTATTTGAAGTTTAAAAACTTTTCCCTCACATTTTTCCTCAAAGTTTTACTAGCAGTAAGGACAAACCTCACGTGACATTTTTAAAACTGAAGCCTAAAGGAAGGTATATAATTCAAGTTTACTGTTTAGGACTGAGTGAACAGGGGAGAGATGTATATCTTTTTAGACAAGAAAGGCTTCATTTTTTCAGAGCTGTTTGAAGAACTCCATTCTGGACACCATTCAAGTTGAACTGTAACAAATTATCAATAGCAGAGATCTCTGTCTTCAAGATGATAACATGATGATGATCAGAGAAAGCCTGTGAAATGTTCGCTAGCTTTTAAGAAGAGTCCTCTTTGCCTAAAAAGTTTGCCTGGGGACTAGATCAAATCTTTAAGTTTTGAAAGGGGAAACAAAAAGTTGCACTGTTGCATCATTGCAATTTGCAGCATTGCATGTTTAATGCTGGCTACAACTCCATGATCTTTGTGATGGGTCTTAACATATGTCTTCAAGCACTATGTGTGTAAAGAAATGATTTTTTTTTTTTTTTTTTAAAATGACTGATATTCCCCTGTAGTTTTTTTCAACTCGTTTTGTAAAAGGTGATATTAAAAAACATTTCATTTCAATCTTTCCCATTTTATTTTTAAAGTGACAAGGCTTTTATTGGTACCTGAGGTAATCCAAAAATATGTTCTTGAAAACAGTCTTCTGTCCATTTGAAGGAGACTGAATTTGTTCCCTTTTAATCCCCTATTTTGCAGTAGAATTATAAAATCAAAGGAACAAGAATCTGTATAACGGAGTGCTGTTAGGATTTTCTTTTTAGTAACTGATCCAATGATTGTGTTGTAATTATGTAGTAGTCAGTGAAAAAGTTAACTTGATGTAGTTATACTACTACTAAAGGTGTGAGGATATGAATTGCTAGAAGTGCTTAGCACTCAGATTGCACAAACAGTGGGAACTGGTGCTACGAGCACACATATGGTGGTGTTTTCACAGAGCTAAATATACAACATTTAACATTTAAATAACTGCATCTTTTCAATGTAGAAATAATAATTGGCAAAATATTGGTTTGTAAAAAAATAAAATTAATACAATAACACTTTTAAAAAAATCTTCCTTTAGTACACCTCGTATAACGCTATCATATGTCTTCCCTCTTTGTGTTTGACTTGTTCAAGATATTATATCCTGGAATGCAAATTTAAAAATTTATCTTAAAGACAGATTAAAATTTGGGAATACTGCAAAAAGTTACTGCTATTAATTAAAATATCACTAGTAATTAGAATATCTTCATTAAATGATTACTTTTTGTAAGGGTTCCTTGATATATTTTCCTAAGGTGCTTCTGAAACATTTATTCTGCATATATTGAAGAGATTTTTATTCTTGTTCTAGGAGCAAAGTTTAAAAAATACCTCGGTCATTCTGCTCACGTGACAAATGTCAGATGGTCTCACGATCACCAGTGGGTTGTTTCCATTGGGGGAGCTGATCATTCTGTCTTTCAGTGGAAATTTGTCCCTGACCGGAAGTTGAAGGATTCTCTTCATATAGCACTCCAAGGTAAGTGACTTTTTAAAAAAAAAAAATGGGTGGGAGGAGGGGAGGCTAAAGGAGAAGTAAAATTCCTTGGTGCAAGTGTAGAAATAAATATTCAGAATTGTCGGTCTGCACAAAATTGTTGTTCTTTAAACTTTGCAGCTGCCTGAAGTACCTGATAGCGTTGCCTAATACGTGCCTGTACCCTGTATGCTCAGTCTAGGAAGATTGTGAAAAAAAATCACCACTGTGTTCCCTGTGCAAAGGGAAAATTTAAAAGTTCGGATCATAGATATGAATGTAAGAATTCTGTACATATCATCCTCTACTAAATTGCCAACTGGATGCCCAGATGTCACTGGAAAAAAAAGATGTATATACTCATTTGATTAAAGTTTTGAGGTATTTAGATGATAATTTAAGCATTATAATTTTGGTTTTGGGGGGGGGGGTTGTTTGTTTGTTTTAAAGCAGACTGTAGGTGTTTAATATTTGGAAAAAAACACAGATCAAGTTTCCACCAGTGACTAATACAGCAATTAATCTCATGATTGAGTTTCCCAAAATCAAACAATTAACTGAGTGCCTCACTTGGAAATTCCTAAAGGAATTTAAAGAGTCCTTTGGGGAAATAAGTATATAGAGTTACAATGAAATAGGCTGTTTCACCCTTTAATTGCTAAGATCAGATGAAGATGTATCAGTGTGGACCCAGCTAATAGGTAAATGAATGCTGATTCAGTGCTGGCCTTGTCAGTGCCAAATGCAGAAAGAAGCAATAGTTCTCTTCATCTCCTTGATGAAGCCTCCAAAAAGCCTTTAACTGGTTTGATCCTTCATGATATGGATTCATTTTCAACTAATTATTTCCCATAACCCAAATTTCTCATTAGTTACTGCTTCCCAAGATAAAATTTCTATATATTAAGCGTTTAGATTCCTTGTTCCTGGATATTATAATCTTACTTCTGGCTATCTGACAGTATGTGCAACATACATCTGTTTTGTCACACTACTGATAATTGTCCTGTTAATGGCTTTTCTAACTCTGAAATCTGCTACCTTTATCAGTAGCAATATTGGTTTTCTCTAGATGACTGATAAAAATATTAAGTAGTATAGCTCCAAAGATTGCTCGTTATTGCATATTTCTAGAAACATTTCTTACTGAGTGGTGATTCTCTCTTTGCAATTACATTTTGAGATCTTTTAAAATCCATTTGTGTTCTAGACTGATTTTGTGTCTGGTTTCTTAACCAAAAAATGTGCAACATTCAATCAAAGGTTGCAGAAAGGTCCAAATATGTTATCATTTATCAGGCAGGACGTTCTTTCCAGTTTCTGTTGGAATGAAACTGTGCTACAACATTATCTGGCTTTCCCCAGATGTAGAACAGAAACATTAAATGACTACTCTCTTTCTCCACAGTCACCGAGAATTTTACCACTTCCTTCCCATGTATGATTCCACCGCCCCCACCCCCCACTCCCCCCAATCTACCTGAAAAATTAACACTTACATCAATGGCTCTCCTAACCATAAGTTTCTCCTTGGAGCCCTTTACTTCCCTTGTTAGTTTTCTGCAAGTCTTAGTTTCTGCTTTCATTCCTTCATTTTCTCCTTTCTTCCTTTCCCTCTAACATTAATGTTGATGAAATAATTTTAATAAATGAAAGTTAACTCGCTCTAAAAAACAAACAAAAATTATCATACTTACAAGTTGGCTTATTTCTACTGTATCAGCAGAATTGATCCTGTCAGCCTGTCAATTATTAGCAGTTTATGTTGTAGTTAATATAAGCATTGATTATCAAACCAGAAACATTAAGCAGTTACTTTAAACACTTTCTGGTTTGTAATTTAGGTTGCTTCATTTTCTGTTTTTGTTTTCTTGGTGGCAGAGAGTCTGGTTGATTCTAATAGTGATGAATCGGATTCAGATCAGTCTGATGTTCCAGAGCTGGACTCTGAAATTGAACAAGAGACACAGATCACGTATCGTCGACAGGTAAAGATTTTATATTTAATGGCAATTGGAATGCTTCCCAGGGTTTAAGTTGGTCTTTTATGAAGACCTGTTGAAATCTGAAAACTGGGGAGACTGAGAGCTGAGCAGGAATTGACCAAAACCTTTAGAATTGTTATTATCTCATGCATTCAAAATATTAAGATACAATAGAGAAAGAAGAAGTGATTACAGGTATTCCTAGCATGTTCTATTAGAGTTTTGGTTGTAATTTCAAAAGGAGTTACACTATACAATAACCAGCTACAGTTACTGGAGGTTTTTTTCAGTGAAGTCAGTATGACATTTTTGTGGGTGATAACTGTGTCTGAATTCTCAGAAACATGCTTTTCTTATGAACCTCTTAATTTATAAGTGTGCTCTTTCTTAAAGGTTTACAAAGAAGATCTACCTCAACTTAAAGAGCAATGCAAAGAAAAAAGAAAAAGTGCAGCTTCTAAGAGACGAGAGCGGGCTCCAGGGAACAGTATAAGATTACATTTTGTTCATGGGTATGAAAACTAGGATTCTTTAAAATATACAAGCAGACTGTGTTTTGCAGATTGGTGTTTATAATTTAATAATCTGGTGAAAGACTTTTAGGTCAGTTGCTTTGTGATTTACTGTTTTTATTTATTTCTGTAAAAATAAATTTACACTAAATTAATAGAAAGCTTTGATGCCAAGCTAGACTAATTCTGAAGTGAATTTGCACTGAAACTTAAGCTGAAACTTTCTATTTGAATAGAGGTGACTAAATACAATATTTGGCTATTACCCATATTTTTCAGTATCTGGAAAGGAATAGTTCTCTTTGGTGTATTATTTTGGAAGCTACGACAGAAACTTGGTGTAGTTGAGGTGACTGGATTCTGTACTAAGTGGTGTTTCTATCAGTGTTTCATTAAAAAAAAAAAGTATAAACTATTTGTACCTAATCTGAAACAATTTACATGTTCCTCTGTTAGTTTAGGAATTAAATTTAATTCTTAATAGGTCCTGTTATGTGTGTTAAAATTCAGTTTCATTCTCTTTTTGGTGCTAATTTGAGTAACAAAATGACTTCCAGATACATCCTCGAAATCTTACGATTTTGTCTTTAGGATTGGTAGTCTCCCATAACTCTTCATAAGTGAAGACTTTTTCATCGGGACAAAGATGTGGTGTTTTAAAGCAAACTGGCAGTAGATGTTACTACATTAGAATAATGATCAGAAATACAAAATCCCTTGATACAAAGCAAAACCAAAGCCTTTATTAAATTAAGGCATTGGAAATCAGGTAATGCTGTGTTTTTCTTTTAAAAGATACTTCTTTGCAGGAATACAACTTCTTTTTGGAGATAACTAAATGCACAGATAAGTTACTGACACTGTCTGTCTTTATAATGACACAAACAATTTTAGAATTCCACGTGAAATGCTTAATAAATTAATTGGCTAAGAATAGTTAATCATTCAACTCATCAATTTTGTCTGTAGAAGACATGGAGTCTGAGGAATAGCTTTGGAAATAATGACAACTGGGAAGCTTGGTACAGAGTTGGTTTTCTTATTTCTATTTTTGACTCTCCAGAATTCTCAGTTGAAGATTTTTATATCTGTATAGAAAATGCATTAAGGTAGGTAGCTGTATGTAGTCTTTAAAATTTAGTCTAAGAATCAAACCAAATGATCCTGAGGAAGATGTAGCACAAGCAAGGGCCCTGGATCTTTGGGATTATTGTTATTTCCTTCACAACAGAAGTGAAGCTTGACCAGAATATCCAGGAATGACCAGAAGTAGAATGTCCAGTTGAGTTCTGTCTGATTACCCAATGGGCATCAAGGAAACTAATGAAGAATCCATGCTGATCAACAGATTTTTCTCAATGTCCAGGCTGTTAACTTTAAAGTGACCCACATCCAAGTGAGTAATAGGCATATTCTCTGATTCAGGAAGTCTGCTTTGCTTCATCTTTCTTTAGCTGCGATGGAAATGTCTTGGATGTTCCTTGAAAGTGTAAAAAGTGGTGCTTTTTTGAACTAGGGGAATAGGAAGCTCTTTTTCCTTTCTTTGTTTTTGAGCACATTGGTTTTGTGTTTTGAATTTGTCAACTGCCTTGAAAGATGAACTTCTAAAAATCTCTTCATATCCTGTAAGAGATCTTTTAAACCTCTGGTTACTTCCTGTTTTGGAAGGGGATAGAAACAATAATGCTGAGTATGTGAGGCAGCCACTGACTAATATGGATGAGAAAGCAACTTCTATTAACAGGTTAATCTTTAAGTGCATCTTTCTCCAAGAGACCTGATGCAGTCATGATCAGAAACATGTTATTTAAGTGGTGTACTAGTTTGACCTCTTTTTGACTACTCCTGTATTTTATTTCTGCCGTGTCTTTGACAGTGGTGGTGGTTCAGAAACATAAAAAGGATACATCTTTCGAGATATTGAGAGGAACTCCTTTCTCAGACTCAATGTTTATAATACTTTCTTTTTGCTGGCAGGGAATAAGGATGCAAATATAATATCCTGTATTATCTCAAAGCTATGCTGCTGATCTCACAAGAACGATTTTTTTTTTTTTTTTTTTTTTTTTCTGCTATTCAAAGAATTTAAGCAAAATCTAGTTTGAGTTTCAAGATATTCATTGAACTGACCTTATCATAAGATGAAATTTGGTTACGGTTTGAAGATGACATGGGATTTATCATGCTCTAAAATGAGTCTTATGACACCTTGCATGGATTCCTACCAGAGGGCTACTAATACCTACAAATAGCATCTGAAGGGAGTAGGCTATGAGTGGGTCCTGTTGAGAAAACACTATTGCCATGCGAAAGTATATTTAAAAAAAAAAAAACAAACAACAAACCTCTACCTTTGCGCTAAAGAGGCTGACCTCAACCATGTTTATTTTGACATTTGGTTCTTCTGGAGATTTTTGGGGGAGGGTTGCACTACGTTCGGAAATTTCCCATATATATTTTGAAGAGTAACGTACAAATTTTGAAACACTTACAGCATCAGACAAACTATGGACATTGACTCTTTTCCCTGAGAGGACACTGCTTGTGAAGTTGCCCCTTAGTTGGCTATAGATGTGTAACTTGCAACTGTGGGCAGGATCCAGCTTTAGGTTAAAGAATTTACAATTGTGGGCCTAAAAGTAGGTGGTTTTATGTGTGCATCTAAACTTCAGTCACAGTCAATGGAGATCCAGTCAGTAGTCAGTGGAGCATAAGGAGTGATTTGGCTCAAGTAAAATTAAATGCTGACTGGTTGGTCAGCTGAGTAGCCCTGCAGGTTCCATTGACTGTATTGACTAGAACACTGTTGAATAAAATATGTATTAATATATCTAACACACATCTTGAACTGAATTCCGTCCCTGCTCTTCGTGACCGTGCTAATGGCAAAATTTTTCTTCTACATAGCATTGAGATAGCTATCTTTTCTTCTTAAAGTTACTGTCATATTAACTTGAATCAGTCCTGGATTGATGGTTTGATTAGCTCTTGCTGAAGACCACTTGAAAACATCAACTACTGCAGAATGCGGTGTTATGTTTATTGTGCCTTGTTACATGTTATCCGGTAACTATGATGCAGAGCTTGCTTTCCTTATTATTTAGTTTGTAGTTGCTAACCAAGATGTCTTGTAAATTACTTCTGTGGTTTGTTTTCTGCATGCAAAGAAATTGTTTCTCTTTGTGCTTTTTCTGAGATTAGCTAATAATCTCAGTTCTAAATTGGTTTAATAATATGGAGATGTAAGCATTTTGGAACTGTGTAGCATATTCTCAGGGAATGATCATCTACACTGAAACATGCTTCTTTTCATCTCTGCTTGGACTGTTTAAGCCCATCACTTTATCCTTCTGGTGAAAAGTACCGATATAGTCAGGGAGTTAGTAAACTGACATGTGGGAAAGACCAGATGTGTTTAACTGGGTTACAAAATGTCTTTGTTTGCACTGCTTGATATTTTGGCAGAATAGGTTTTATTTTAATTGTAAACAACTGATTGTACACCTATTTTTTTTTTTTTATAACTGGAGGAAGTGAACTTCTGATGATAAAAAGTTATAGGTATGAGTAATAAGAATTATTTTCCTGCATCCTAGATATATTTTGGATGTTTTGGGTAGTCCTGTGGTATATGGCATTAACATACTCAGTTTCACTATGCTTAACTTAGGGTATGTAGGCAATTGTTATGACAAGATCTGGGAAAAATCTGAATTTCTGGGTTGCACATAGAAGGATCTGAGACCCTTTTGCTGTCTTAATGCTTTTTACTTTTATAGGTGACTGCTAAGCTTGTAAGAAGTTGCTCAATGTCCAGTATTTCTAAAGCTTTATTTCTTTCAGCATACATATTTTCATAGCTGCTTTTTAAAATATTCTCATTTAGGGTGCATATTCAGCATTTTTTTTAATCATTCTGCACTTGCAAAGGAAATCCAGTGTTTTTAACAGAGCACAGTGCAGAGTGAAGCACAGGAAAACGACGTCTGAGCAGTGATGGGTCCAGATAACTTCTTTGGCACTGTGCCTGCCTTTTTAATTCCTACCCCTCACTCAATGTTGTCATGTCCTTAAACTGTTAATGTTGCATACTGTGATAGGTTATTTTTGTTTTCTTTCTTCATAGTTACTGTAGGTTATTGTATATTATGTCCCTTTAAAAACTAGTGGCTGGACATCAAAGAAGGGTGTAGCCAGGCAGGGCAAGCAGGCAGCACTTTGGATCAGGCAGAAATCAGCTTCAAAACATCTGCACATGTTGCTGCTGGGGGAAGTTGTTAGTGAACGATATGGGTGGAGGGGAGATCAAAGCATGACTGAAGAGTCTCCACCTGTATGGTGAGTCTAAATTGTTGGTCACTTTGAGAAGAGCAAGGAGCAGACATAGAGTTGAGCCTCAGACCTAATGGAAAGAGGGAGGTTTTTTTAGAGACCTTTAAGGGACAGTAACTCAGGAGACACTGAAAAGTTGCTGGATTGGGACCAAACCTGAAGTTAAGAACCTGCCTGTGAGTACCAATCTAAACAGTGGGTTGGAGGGAAACTATTTTAAAAGCTTTTACTTCTGTGCTATCACAGTTTTTGCTGGTTTAAGAAGTTCACTTTGCTTGTTCGTGACCTAATGAGACCCAGCTTTGGACTTCACAGTATCGCAGACAATACAAAACTTGGAGGAGTGGCTGGTACACCAGATGGATGTGCTGCCATCGAGAGGGACCTGGACAGACTAGAGAACTGGGCAGGGAGGAATCTCATGAACTTCAGAAAGGGGAAATGCAACGTTCCGCATCTGGGGAGGAATGGACCTGGACCATCTACTGGTCTGTTTAAAAAGTTTGTGAGATGATTTTAGCAATTTTTCTCTAATCACATATGATCTGACATAAGTACCATTGCGTGCAGTTTACATGAGCCGACAGAAATACAGCATGTTCAAACTTGCTCCAGGTATGTGCTGTGGTGTTTTCCAGTAATGCATATGTCTAGTATTTGTGAACGTGGATCCATGGCTGGAGTTTTCAGAATAGTATTCATTAAGCTAAAGTTGGTCAAGTGCCTTAAAGATTCATTACTTGACCAGTGCATATGGTTGCACCGTGTACACAAGGAAAGCTATATATAATTTTATGAAAGACTTTTCTACCTGGACTGCATAAGTTCTGTGTCATTTAAACCTTTTCAGTGTCTCATGTGCAGTAATTGTCTCAATGCTATCCCATTCATTTTGTGTATTACACTTACTGGTATGTGTACAGGTGCACCTTTGTCTTATGTGGTAATTTAAAGACTGCACTGTTGCAAAAAGATCTTGCATTTATTTTCTTCTTAAAAACAACGTAATTTGTTCTGATGATACATGCTTTTAATTAAGCAATTAATGTCATGAGAAGTATAAAAAAGACATTAGAGATTTCTGTTAGTTTGTAGTTGCTGATGGTGAAAGTTTAGTTACTTTGTTTGCTAAGAATGACTTGCTGATCATCTTCAGGGCTTTTTTTCAACTAGTTCAATTAGAAGTTGGGTGCAAAAATACTTACATAGAGCCTTAAGATCCCTGAATAAAGATAATCCATAGCCAGTTCAAACACAATCAAGTGTCATTCCCTTCCTGTAAATTTAACTATATATTTAGAAATGTAACCAGATTTTGCCTGTATCTTTGTAAAATAATTAAAAAGTTGGTTTAGTGAAGATCTGTAAGAACAGAAGAAGGAACAGAAGGAGGTTAGCTGGGGAGTTAATACCATAGAAACAGGATGTGTCAGGAGTATATGGAGTATTGTTTATATCAGAAGAAAGGAAGGAATGAATTTAAGTTACGCATTTTTAAATGTTATCTCCATTGACTGCCAAGGATAGCATTATTAAAAACACGAATTTAAGACTTGCTTATTTGTTTAATGTTTTTTAGGTTTCTGAGCCTCTTAAATTACTTCCGAAAGTAGGACCCTAGCCTTTTTGAAAATGCCACCTTTGGTTTTTCTGGGGTACTGAATCAATCACACCTATGAAGAAATGTGTATACTGTGATAGTGCATACAGACCTCAGTTGGGAATTGGCCTAGTCATGCCAGTTGCTGCATCAGTACAGAAAGGAAACAGGTTTTTCTTCAAAAAAGAAACTGATCTGGAAGAGAATTTATGCATTTGTTTTCTGTTAGCAAGTTTCCAGAAACTTTCAGTTTTATGATACCTGTGTTGTCCACATTCTTGTGGAAACTTTTGTTGCCTGCTTTTTGAGCAGTAAGAGATAGAAAATGTCCAAAGTATTAGTTTTGACTATTTCATTTAATTACATGTTGCATGCCTGAATTCTCCATGTGGTCTGGAAAAATTACTAGCTATTACTTCCTCTTTTAAATAGTTGTGGAGGAGAGTAACTATTAAATCCCAGCCACTTTCAAACTAATGCTAGTAGTACTGATGTCTGAATAGTAAATTAAATTGATAAATTGGTGTTCCTTTGGGAAAATGTTAATAAACTTAAAACACCAAAACAGTAATTGGTAAGTAATCTGAGTTTTCACATGTGCAAAATGCATCTTGCATAATTTTATCTCAAAGTTTCAGTATATATAGTTATGACCTTGATGAACAAACTTTTTTTCTTTAATTAGTTACAGAGGTTACGACTGTCGAAGCAATTTATTTTACACTCAGACGGGTGAAATTGTATACCATGTTGCAGCGGTGGGAGTGGTGTACAATCGACAGCAGAACACACAGCGCTTTTATCTAGGTCATGATGATGACATTCTTTGCCTTGCTATTCATCCCTTAAAGGACTATGTGGCAACAGGCCAGGTAGGATTCGTGTTTATCTGCAATAAGAATCTGAAGTTGTTACTACTGAATTTAGAAAAGCCTATTTTGGAGGAAGGAAGTCCAGTCTACATTTATTCAGGTGAAGGATCATGTTAAAAAAACTGCAACATAAGTGTTTTTTCCAGTTTATTATATTAATTCTGATAAGAGTCTTTAGTTGATAGGGTTTTTTTAACCTGTTTTTTATTTAAGAATAGATTCATATTTTTTATTCAGCATTATGTTGCTTCTTTATGATAACAAGTGGAGGAAAAGTGCAATTAAAATATATTTTTTTAGTATCTTAGTTGTGAAGTTAGCTATGTTGTTATTACATTCATGTATTACAACATGAAGTTAGCAGTTGTTATTACATTCTGGCATTTCGGTTTCATGCATTATGTTTTTGGTTATCACCTATAGCCAAACTATTTATTGTTTGTACATGCAACACAGGTAAGTATGTTGCTAAAGTATTTATAATAGTTCATTTTATCTTTTGCCAGACGGTAATTTTAGGTAAGTTTTTTTCACTCATGTTTTCTGAAAAACATCTCTTCCCATAAATGTTTATACAATGGGACTTGAAGGTTTGATTTGATGTTTCAGGGTTTTTTAATTATTATTATCATTATTATTGTTGTTGTTGTTGTTGTTGTTATATAATAAATTGCTGAACATGTGAACTGAAATTTTTAATAGAAATAAACTTTTGCTTATTATCCCCTTAATTTGTGTAAAAATGTTTGAGATTAACACAAATTTGCAGGTCAGTTTAGAGATTAAAGCCCTAAATGTGAGAATTGATTCTGTTTAATTTAGGAGTAGTAAAGACTATGAATAAAAATGTGCCTGGATTTACTATATTTTAAAATCCCTTATGCTATCAATAGAAAGATACACTCCATTACATACTGTTTCATATATACATACTATATACTGTTGTATATTACCTGCAGAAATTAGGTAATGCAGTAATCAAATTCCCCGTGCAACACTGGTTCAGATTTTCCTGATAGTGAACCTTACGAAAAGCTTAACATCACATGTTAAGTTTGTGGCAAAAACAGAAATAGATCCTAGTTTTCTTAAGTCCTGCCCCTGGTCTTAAACACAGGAGACTGTTCTGGTTTTGCAGCCCTTTTTTGTGTACTGAGGTGTAAAACCTTTGGAATAGCGAATAATCTTGTAGATACTGTCTAATAATGCTTGTACGTAGTTGAAAAGAATAAGATATGTTCCATTTCTTACCAAGTTCTAGTTACCTGCATTAGTACCATTCTAGCGGAGATTACTCCACAGGTATCAATGCATTAGAATCTGACTTGTAGGCACTTGTAATGACACCAGAAAGCAACAGAAATCACCTTGATTTCTCAAACATAGAGTAGCTTACATACTAGCAATAAAAATAACCTTTTGTTTTTAGACAGGGAATGATTGATAGAGAATTGATGGAATAAATATGCCACAGTGCGATCAATGAAGGGCTGCTTCCCCCCCCCAGCCTCCAAGAGGACTCAATTGTGATTAATGTGCCTAAATTCTTTGGAGGGAAGAAAGAGCCAGCTGGGGAGTGGTATTTGTACAGCAGGAAAAGGAATAATATACTGCTAGCCAGACGGAAGTAATACTAAGAAAATTTTATCACTGTAAATTTTCTCAAATACTTTTTAAAGTATTTGTCAATATTATACTTTTAAACAACTGCGTGAAGTAACTGAGAAATGAAAAAAAAATTGTTATAAATATGTATACTTTCAGGTTGGTCGAGATTCCTCAATACACATTTGGGATACAGAAACAATAAAACCACTCTCAGTATTAAAGGGCTATCACCAGTATGGTGTTTGTGCTGTTGATTTTTCAGGTAATAAGTATTTATTTATTTATTTACAATTTTCCTTTTCTGTATGAAAATACAAGCTAATCAGTTCTAATGAGCAATTGGGAATTCCTTTACGCTGAAGATTTTGTATTAAAAATATTCTCCAGTGATCAATATCAAATGAGAGAGTCTGTCTTAAAATGATCATTTATTATAAAGAGCTCCTGTGGAGTCTTGCACATCAGGAAATGCAAGAACAGGTTCTGTGCCATTTAATAGCTGAGCTGATCACTTCAGAATTTCTTTTGGTTGTATGAGGCAGGCACACAGATCTTGATGTTGTGTCTGCATTACGACTGTGTAAGCACATTTTTAAGCAAATTGATCAGGTGTGCACTTTTTTTAATTAAATCCTGCAAGCCAATTGGGTAGCACACTGATAAATTCAGAAAGTCCAGTTACGGAGTTCTTCTAGGCAGAAACCCAGCCTCTGTCTCCACCTTATACTAACATAAGAGACCGTCAGTTAAATCTTTTGAGATTTTTGCACCCCATACATTGAATTCCTGTACCAATGTTAAATTTCCCGTTCTCCCCTGGCTTCTATTCATTCTTTAATGGTTTGGATTTACTAGATAGGATCTCTAACCTCACAGTGAAGATGTGTGATCACAAAGATGAGTAGTTTGGGGTCTTTGATGCTTCTTACCTTTCTTTGGTTCTCCTTTTTCAAGACGTGAATCTCATTTCCCAAATTCTGGCATGGATGCATAGCAATTTCAAAGATGGATACATGTCAGAAAGTCGTTGATCATGAGTAAGCACAAATAACTGCTTTCTTGGAGGTTAATGTGGGATACGTGTCAGAGCTTCTCAAAGACTTCACACTATTACTAAGTTTAAGGATATTTCATAAACTTCATGGTATTGCTTCAATGCTTTCCTGTTTAGAAATGAACAGGGATTTTCAGAGTAAACAGAAAATTCTCACAGTACAACCTGTGATGAAGGTTTTTGTGCAGCTGTGTCAGCAACTAGCTGAACAAAGGATTTGATACAAACACAGAGGATCCAAGTGCAATTTTTAGACAGGGTAACTTGAAGTCCTAAACTCCATCCAACTGACCACTCAAGTTTAAAAGCAAACAGACCACAGACGTGCCTCTAAGCACACGTCGTAAGATTATTTACCTCTTTGTACATTCTTTGTATAATATTTGTGAAGTTACAGTATTCTTTAATATGTTTTCTTATTATTGCAACATAATGTTATCTATCTACTCTCTTAATCATAAATATATTTTTCTAGCGGATGGCAAACGATTGGCTTCTGTTGGAATAGATGACAGTCACACTATTGTACTCTGGGATTGGAAGAAAGGAGAAAAGCTTTCAGCAGTAAGGTAGGAATTTAACGTTCTTGTAAAATTTGTACCTAGATTTACTTTCAAATGACAGTAAGCAAAATACATTCATTAAAGAATAATAGTTCTCTAATGAATTAGCAGTTTCTATCACTTAAGTGATACAGGCGATAACATTTAGCACAGCCTTAAAACTTTCTTTGGAAGAAAAAACTGAAGCTCTGATAGAGTCAACAAGAATTATTACAGTGACAGCTCAATTGGTGAAGAAAGAAGACATAGAAGACAAAGTTTATTTACGTTTATTTGATGTGTTCTCAAATAATTTCTTTAAAACTCAGTCCATGCACTTCTGTTGGCCCTCACAGAAATGGTGATGTATGCCCTGCTTTTCAGATCTTTTTCATCAGAGGTCATGTCTGTCTTGGGATAGTAGTCTGCAGTTGTTTTGCTCAGTTCGTTCTTCAAGGTTCTTTCCTTTTCCTTTCTGAGTCCTGAGCAGCCTGATCTAACTTTGAAGTTAGCTCCGCTTTGAACAGGAAGTTGGACTATATAACCTCCAAAGGTTGAATATTTCGGAAGTTTCTTTGACTCTGCACAGATTATTTCATACACGTTTATTAAATAGAGTTTTAATCTACAAGATAGAATCTTATTTCTAATGCTGAGTAATGTTTTCGAAACCTTTGACTCTGTTGTTTCTAAGGATCTATTGTTTTAAGTAGAGCAGTAATGTGAGTGGGTTTTTCCCCACTCTGTCTGGATTCAGTATGTATACTCTAAATATTGTTCTAGGTAGGTTTGAAAGGGATTAATTATTCTCTTCAGATACAATTTAAAAAGTATCAAATTCCTTTTTATCCATTAAGTTCATTATTGCTCTTCAATGACATTTACTTTCATTTTCTTTTTAAAGGCACTTTGAGGTTTTTTTATCCATTGAGGAATGAAAATCCTGAATAGATGATGTAGATGAAGAGTACTCCCTTCCCAGTTATTTGTCAGAAGCCCAGTTAGCTTGGCTTCTCTGAAGATACTGGTTTGGGCCTTTCATTTGTCTGCCTTTAGCATTTTCTGTTACTTAAAATATAAATATTGCATCTCTTATCATATGTTTCATGCATTAAAGGCAAATGTTTTCTCTGTATATCTCTCGAAGTTAGCTTTGCCCTTGTAGAAATAACGTTAACCCCCCACCCCCTCCAGCTTTTTTTTCTTTTTTTAAATTCCCCTACTCTCTGAACCCACCAATCTCATTTAATTCTTTTTTTAATCAAACTTTAACCAGTTTATACTGGATTTAGTTTCTGGAGTGTTTTTCCTACTACCTACTCAGAGGAATTGAATAGAATTTTTGGGAGCAGCATCTATACTTTGAAGATTACAGTGTGAGTTTTGGAAAGAAACTGGTTCACGCTTTTTGCTACTGGTTTGTTTAGTGGTCTGAAAACGACAGAGGGTAAAAGATTTCCACTCTGAAACGGGGAGCAAAAATTAGGGATTAGAGGCTTTTCTGCGTTTTGAAGAAAAACAACCTGCTAGTAAGCGTTTCTTTCCGTGCATAGATAGCAAACATAGATGAAAGCTGTTTTTCAAACTATAGGACTAAGGCAAGGCATTGGTTTTATAGAAGCATAGTAAGAAATCTAAAACACACAACAGGTTTTAATGTTTTTAGAAACAACTGAAAATTCCATTTAAAATTGATATAGCAGCATATGTTTTATTCTAACAAGAAAAATAGAAAAATCAATTAAAAGGTGGATGAGAATGGCAATTTATTTTCAAAGTGAGAGACTTTTTAATGAGATTTACAACTTTACACCTTTCAAGTTTCATTATGAGCTGTTAGAGGTCTAAATACCATATACCTAAAATAGATATATATTCTTTTGCAAAGAAAATGCCACCTAGTGGATTTCTGAGCTAACATAAGTACTCACCTGCTTTGGAAACTGAAGGGTAATGAAAATAGAACAGGACTCAGTATGTTAGTTCTTTGGCTTTCTTACTCCTCATAATAAATTATTGTTAATGATTTGGAAGTAAATGTTAGCAAAATAGAGAAGTTATACATTAGTAAACAAACCCCAAACCAAAACCTATTTAAAAATATTAATAGTTATATTTTTATTTAAAATATTTTGCTTTGCATTTCAGGGGAAGCAAAGATAAGATTTTTGTTGTTAAGATTAATCCTTATATGCCTGATAAATTGATTACAGTTGGAATTAAACACATGAAATTCTGGCGTAGAGCAGGTAAGGAAACTTTTCAGAATTACAGCATTTTCTGTTACTTAAAATATAAATATTGCATCTCTTATCATATGTTTCATGCATTAAAGGCAAATGTTTTCTCTGTATATCTCTCGAAGTTAGCTTTGCCCTTGTAGAAATAACGTTAATTGGCATTATGTCAGTAGTGGGAATTCTTTTTAAGATCAATTTGTCACGGAGCTAGAGCTACATAAATAGAAAGGACTCTGGATTTCCTACTGTCTTTTTTTATATCTAATAATAATATAGCACATCTGAAAATGTTACAGAGCTGCTGTACATCATAGAACAGCTTTTGGAAGAAGGACCTATAGAACATGTATGTTATGAAGAGGCACAAATATAAATAAATTTAAAGTTGAGACCTGTTTGTTTAGATACCTGTGTTGAACTTGACAATTAAAAACCAAGATAAAGCAGTTTGCTTTATCTGCTTGAAAAATTTTGAAGAGTGAAGAATCCATTCCCTGATATCAGTGTGAACTTCATTGTTTCAAACCTCAAAACGTTTATAAAAACATATATGCTACAGAAGACTAGCTTATCTGCTAAGAATGTTCTAATTATTCATGCAGAATTTATGCACGTCAGCTCACTTGAGTCCCTGATAAAGATTAATTATGGAGAGAAAAGTCTGTGATGAAAAAAATGACACTAGTTTTCTCAGTTCTGGCTCCAACAGAAATTAATCAAGATTGCCTGAGAGCAAGCTGTTGAAGTCTATATAAATTATTAATTTTAAAAATTGCGCTTGCTATCTATAGAAAGAAAAAAGTGTGTCAGAATATTTACTGAATGAATTACTATAAATTCTTTCGAAAGAAATCTTTACTATGATAAAAGCCTGGAAATGGTGATTTTGAATAAAGAAATGAAATTGTTTAAAATGCCTCTTTTCTCTCTGGCATTGCTTAGTCAGCAGGAATCACATTTCTCTAATGCTGCAGCCCATCTGTGTGAAACTGCAGTGGCACACTGGCAAGGCAGTCACCGTGAAACACACTTAGTATTAATGTGAGGAGTAGAGTATCAGTACACCTTAACCAACGCCAAGTCTCTGAAATCTGCACTAGAGCAGGTGCACTTGATGTGAGAAGTGACACCAAAGTATATGCTTTGGACTAAATTTTCATCAGTGCCAAGTGATGACAGAGAGGTTCAAACGCCTTGCCTCTGTAAGTATGAGAACAGTATGAAGTGTCAGATCCTGAGGGGCTTCTGTGTTATACCATGTGAAGTTTCTCTGAGGATTGTGAAAGTATAAATCTGACTTTCTAGCCAGAAGTTACTATGTGTTATAACTGTCAAATGATTTTAGATACGGTATTTTAAAGAATTTTAAAATTTATATAGCTGTAACGTTTCTATTATCCAGAGGCCAATACAGCAAACCTCTAAAATAAAATTAGGAATCCTCTCACTGAAAACGTATCGTGAAAAGGATGGGATGTCAAGATTTAAACTTTTTCTTTTCTTTCCTTTCAGGTTGATTTAATTAGGAATATCTATGAACTGTGTGGTAGATCTTAAGTTTTTTGTTTAGATGCGAGTTTACAATTGCACTTTCTCTTTGCATGTCTGTGTGGGTATATGTACATGTTCAAATCGAGATTCGAGTAGTAAGTTAAAAGTAAGTTTGGTTTTTTTTCTTGAAAGATGCCAAATAGTACAAAAATTTTATTTTGTGAGAACTCTTCTCAGGCTCAATTTTTTGGGGAGCGTGGGTGAACCAGAAGAAAAGGACTTGTTGCTCTGGGTAGGGTTGTATAGTTTTTGGAAAATAATTGAAGAAAATAATTCTGATGACTTGTTTTTGGTTTGAACCAGGCGGAGGACTAATTGGGAGAAAGGGCTGCATAGGTGCATTGGGAAGAACCGATACAATGATGTGTGCAGTATACGGCTGGACTGAAGAGATGGCATTCTCTGGAACTTCCACGGGGGATGTGTGTATTTGGAGAGATGTGTTTCTCATAAAAACTGTCAAAGCACATGATGGTCCTGTGTTCAGCATGCACGCATTGGAAAAAGTAAATAAACTGCTCATTGTTTTTTGGTGTCTGGACAAAAAAGTCTATGAAGTTAGGCCTTTCTCAAACTCAGGAATCCATGGCTTTATTTCCATTACAGAAAAGCCTTGTGAGGTCCAGATTCAAAATAGTGTTTTATGCATGTCTCTAGTTCTTGTTATGTAGCATGCTGTTTCTCAAACCCTTGTGGTCCAGTGACATCTTATTCAGTAATTTTCATAACCTCTTACTAAAGAAATGAGTAACATGATAAGTAAAAGTACTTTTTGATTTAAGCATCCATAAGTTTAATGGAATAAGTGAGCTTGTGGGAGAGGAAGAAGGTCATACTATTTTGTGCTGTAATTACTGTCTACTAGTAGAAGCATTCAGTCTGTAGATCACTAAGTACTCTCTGCTGATTCTCAACTTCTTTTGACTCAGGAAAGCCTTTAAGCATGTGCTTAAATGTGAATGGGTGTTCCAGTTAGATTACTTGTATATTTGAAGTTATGTATAAGTTTGTGTTTTGCTAGGTTAGACCAAGTTACTCCACCCTCTAATATTTGAGTTTCAGTATAGTAGCTTTGGACAAAGCGTGTTTTATTCATATTGCAAGAACTAAATTCTCCAAAGGAAGTTACTAATGATCTCAGTATTAAGTATAGCTGTTGCTTCATTAAACAGCTGTAAATAATTTTTGAAGACAGAAGGGCACAAATATGCATGTATTTGAACAATTTAAGCACTTTTTGTCAGTGGTACTAAGTTTGGCTTGGAGTAATGAGATGAAATGCCAAAGGGGTATTGAGGCTAAATATCAAGAAAAACATTTCAGTGTGTCAGTTAAATTATTTTTCTAGTGTAGTAGAAGCTTATTGGTTAGAACTCTTAAATCCAGCCTGTGTACATGGATTGTACAGAACTGTGCTGCCTTCCTCAGGAGAAGAATTCAATCATTTTGTTGCTCCTGATCTTTTCGTCTCTACCATCTGTAGTTCAGTGCATTACAGTGTTGTATATAATCCATTTTCAGTATTGGCAGAAATCACTGAAAAATTAAGGAAAGATAAAAATCACAAGTTATAATCTTTTTTTTTTACTATTATTATTTTTTGCACACCAGGGATTTGTCACTGGAGGAAAGGATGGGGTAGTAGCTCTCTGGGATGATACCTTTGAACGTTGTCTCAAAACCTATGCCATCAAAAGGGCTGCTTTGGCCCCTGGGTCTAAAGGTAACACAGACTTTATCCTATTTTTTTATTCTGTATAAAATACTTTCTGTAGAAAACTCTTTCTGTGGAATTGTGTTCCCCAGTAGGAGGAAATCCACATTTGACGTAATGAATACTAAAAATTATTATTTTTTTTAAAGCTTTTTTGATTTTTAATAAGTAATATTTCTGTTGGGAGGGGAATGGTACATTGCAGTGTCTGTTTGCACATTTGGTGGATGCAGATCATAATATTTACCTTATTATCGGCCTGAATTAATTGATTTAACCTTGACTCTCTTACCACCCAGGTGATTTTTTTTTTTTTAAAGTGGCAGCCAAAAAGCCTATTATATTTCTAATCATGAAGTATCTTGTCTGATCTTTTTTGTTTTGGAGGAGGAATGAAATTCAGAATTGTGGTTAGTTTTGTAAGTTACTAGTAAGTTTTATGACAATTTTCTGTAAATGCATGTGTCTCTTGAAATGGTTTAAGAACCTGTCATTCCTGTTATTCCTGTTTCTTTCATTTATTCTTGATCATAGTGGTGATTTACAGTTTTCCCTATTTGACATTCTGGATAGACTTTTTTCTCCGCACCCCCCTCCTCCCCCACCTTAAAATTACATTTGCTGTGTTCTAATGTATATGGTTTGATTTTCAAAAATCATGAATGGAACACCCATTAACTGAAGCATTCTACTACAGAGTATCTCATTCTCATATCTGTTTAATAAAAAGCTAGATTTGAAGGTACCATAAATGCTAGCAATATAGTAGTATAGTTGATACTTCACATGCACATTTTTTCACTAAGATTGCCAATGAGTCAGGATGATTAAACTTAAGAGATACTCGGTTGACAAGAAAGATTAGTGTCAGCTGGGTAATTGCTAAATACTCCCAAATTAATCCAAAGATGTAAGTTCTTCCATGCAGGAATGTTTTTACTTGGTTACTACTGAGTATCCTTTTCTACAGTGAGAATGTAATGTGCATATGTGTGAAAAATCCTCTTTAAGGCATACTTGAGAATCTTCTGTCTTCTAACATTTTAACGTTCTAGGCCTCCTCTTAGAAGATAATCCTTCTATACGTGCCATATCTTTAGGACATGGTCATATTTTAGTGGGCACAAAGAATGGTGAAATACTGGAGGTGGATAAAAGTGGACCAATAACTCTGCTGGTTCAGGTACATGTTAAATATCAATCAAATATTCCATACCACAAACACTATTTTATTTTTCAAGTAAAGCCTGTTGTGAAATAACGAGCACTTTAATTACTAGTGAAGTTAGTGAGTTACTATCACTTCATAGATTTTTAATGCTAGGCTGGACCATTATGACTCTTTAATGAGCAAAACAGATCACAGAATTTCATGTACTAAATTGTTCAACAAATTCATCCTTTCAAACAGACCAAGATCATATTTATGTTTAAAAAAAAAAAAAAGAAAAAAGTGTGTGAAACAGTGCATCCTCTACCAAGTTCCTTATTAACTTTTTCTGAGTACTGATTACTCTTATTGTTTTTAAAAGTTGTCTCCTTGAGGTTTATTTTTAGATTTTCTTTGTAATTATGTAAAACACATTTCAGTTTTCTTTGCCATACCAAACAGACTGCATTTCTTAAGCTTGACTGCAAAACAGATTTTTTACATCATATCATCATATGATTTTCTTTCATACTTAAATAAAAATCTGTGGATCTTTAATTCACACTGCTGAATGGCCAATGCAATATGTAAAGAACTGGATTTTTTTAAAGAATATACTAGAACCTAGGGTAAAGAAAAAAATCTAGATCATAGAATCATAGAATAGTTTGGGTTGGAAGGGACCTCTAAAGGCCATCTAGTCCA